ATAGACAAGTACTAGGACACCTACAGCAGCTTTTATGGCATCCTGTTCTAAATCCATAGGCATTACTATGGGGTTGGTCCCCCTATGACAGCTTCCCCTCTTCTGGGAAGCTTTCTACAAGATTTTGGAGGGTGTCTGTGGGAATTTTTTGCCTATTCATGCAAAAGAGTATTTGTGCGGTCAGACGTTGATGCTGGACGAGAGGGCCTGGCTCGCAATCTCCGTTGCAGTTCATCTCAAAGGTGCTCAGGAGGGTTGAGGTCAGGGCTCTGTGTGGGCCAGTCAAGTTCTTCCACACCAAACTCACCCAACCATGCCTTTATGGACCTTGCTTTGTGCACTAGGGGACATTCATGATGGAACAGAAAAGGGCCTTCCCCAGAACGTTCACACAAAATTAAAAGCATACTGTGCAAAATGTCTTGGTCTGCTGAAGCATCAAGAGGCCTAGGCCAACCCCTGAAAAACAACCCCATAGAATTATCCCTCCTCTACCAAACTTCACAGTTGGCACAATGCAGTCAGGCAGGTAAGGCTCTCCTGGCATTCGCCAAACCCAGACTCATCCATCAGACTGCCAGGTAGAGAAGCGTGATTCATCACTCCAGATAATACGTTTCCACTGCACCAGAGTCCAGTGGTGGCATTGTGCTTGGTGATTTAAGTCTTGCATGAAGCTGCTTGGCCATGGAAACCCATGCCATGAAGCTCTGGGCGCAGTTTTTGTGCTGATGTTAATGCCAGAAGATGTTTAGAACTCTGTAGGTATTGAGTCAGCAGACCGTTGGCCACTTTGATGCACTATATGCCTATAAGCACGCGGCGACCCCACTCTGTAACTTTACGTGGTCTGACACTTAATGGCTGAGTTGCAGTGGTTCCTAATCGCTTCCACTTCTTAATTAAACCACTCGCAGTTGAAAGAAATTTCATGAACTGACTTGTTGTAATGGTGTCATCCTATGCCCAGTACCACACTTGATTTCAGTGAGCTCTTTGGAATGACCCCTTCTTTCACAAATGTCTGTAAAGGCAGATTGCATGGCTAGGTGCTTGATTTAAACACCTGTGGCAATGGACCTGAATAAAACACCTGAATTCAATGATTAAGAGGTGTTTCCTAATACTTTTGTCCATATAGTGTGATATGTGGGTTATGTACAGAAGGAACAAAAAATAAAAATAAAAATCTGAATAAATGAGTGGAGGAACATTACAAATGCTGGTGCTTTCAGACAGGTGTCCTGCATGAAACAATGAAGCATCTAGCATCCTACCTGCTCTGCAGCACCTATAAAATGATAAGGAGGCCCAGTTGACCTTGATTTTGAATTAAACTGGCAAGTGACTTTGAAAGAGAGTTCACTATTGGGACAAGGGTGGCAGGAGCTTCAAGCCAAAGACTGCTCAACTGGCTAGCATTCGAGATCTACATCTTCATTCAGATCTATGAGAAAAACAACAGTCAAGCATTAGCGTAATATGTAAGAAAAACAGAAGAGCAACTGTTCCTCCGGTGACTGAGGAAGTCTGCAAGAACCGTCCATCCACATAAACAATTATTATAGAATTATTATAATTACTGTGGTAGGATTTCAATGAATAAATCCCTCATTACAAAGATAAAGGCACATCTGAGAGTTAAAACCACCAGAACTGGCTCCAGTGGGGAAAAAAGTGATCAGGTCAGATGAGCCTCCCCTATCCACCTTCTCCAGAAGGTCCAGTGGTTCTGTTGTGTTGTGACGGCCATTTTACCGTTGTTTGGGTCCGTTTGTCTCATTAGAGAGAAGGGTCACCCATCTGAAGTATAAGGAATTATGTGTAATTGCAGTTTAACTACTTTAATATTTAACTAAGTAAAGAAATAGAGACTAAATAAACTAGTTCAAGTGCAAACATCATTACATCATCAAAAGGCGAGGGCCAGCTATGAATGGAGAGTTTCCAACACAGACACCTCCGCTCGCACAAATAGCAACATTAGCAGAGCGGTTGCTCGCTGTTAGCGGGGTGTCACAGTACAAGAGGAGCGCGCAGCAACATAATTATGCACTTTGGATTCCACGGGAACAAGCTCGTTGGCTGGCTTCATTTGCAATGCGAAGATCCGGGCACGGGCCGACGCAACCGCAGGCAGCAGCTCTCCGTGCTTTTACAGAGGCGTTCGCTTTCAGGAACAGCACACACACACACTGCCTGTGATCCTGATAAGAGCGAGGAGGAGAGGATTGAGAGATCCATTTAGAAAAAAATGAAGAGACGAGGGGGGGAAAAAAGGATGGATAAACAGCAGGCAGGGAAGAGAGAGGAGTGCAGATACAAAGAGAGAGAGAGGCGATTTAGGAGAAAGCAAAGAAGAAGAATTTAAATGAGAAAGGCGCTCGCAAGATAAAAGGATTAAGAAGGAGGAATAGAGAGATAAAGCAGGGAGATGGAGAGGAAAACAGAAAGTAGAAGAAGGGGAAAAGAACAGAAATGGAGAGAGATGTGTGGAGATATGGATGGGGTAAAAGATGGAGGGAAACTCATTGTCATGGAAAAGTAAAAAGATACAAATAATTATGAGAGATAGAGAAAGCAAGCAAGAGAAAGAGTATAAGAGATAGAGACAGAGGGAGAAGAAAGAAAGAAAGAAAAAGAAAGAAAGAAAGAAAGAAAGAAAGAAAGAAAGAAAAAAAAAGTAGTATTTATCTTTGCGGTAATGAAGTTGGTGCATCATTTATTAAAGTGTGCATGAATATATATGTGTGTGTGTGTGTGTGTGTGTGTGTGTGTGTGTTTGTTTGTGTGTGTGTGTGTGTGTGTGTGTGTGTGTGTGTGTGTGTGTGTGTGTGAACGGGTGTCAAAAATACTCCAATATTCTGTGTTAAAATGTGAGCAGTGCATGCAAACACACCCCTACACCCCCGTGTCACGTTACCGCTGCAGTGGGCTTCTCCTTCAAACCCGCACGGTGTGCTGAAGGAGGTTCAGCAGCTAATGATGCTTCAAACCCTCTTTGCTTGGTATCAGCACTGCTATTCACACTACAGGAGGTTAGCATGCGTGCTAACGATAAGAGCCTCTGAAAGGAGAGTGTCCAGAAGAGCCACAGAACACAGCGTGGTGTGGAGGGTCTCGCTAACGAGCTCGTTACACTCACACTCGTTAAAGAACAACTCCAGCGCTCACCAGCAGAGATGAGGGGGTGTGCCATTAAACAAGTGTGAGAGAGAGAAGGACACAGAGAGAGATACAGAGAAAGAGAGAGTAAGTGAGGAAGAGTGAATGAGAGATAGACAAAGTGAGAGAAAGGTAGAAGAGAAAAGAGAGAGAGACAGAGAGAGAAAGAAAGAGAGACATAAAGAAAGATACAGAGAGGTGGGCGAGACCAGAAAAGAGTGTGAGAGAAGGAAACAGAGACAGAAAGGGAGAGAGAGAGAGAGACAGAGAGCAAGCATGAACAAGAGATATACCAGAAGAGACAAAGGGCGAGAGTGCTAGAAAGAAAAAGACAGAGAGAGAGAGAGAGAGAGAGAAAGAGAGAGCACAAGTGTAAGCAATAAACAAAGAGATGGAGAGACTGCAAAAGTGAGTGAAAGATATACAAAGAGAACAAGCAAGACCATGGGAGTGAGCAAGAGGAAAAAAAAAGAAAAATAAAGGTAGGAGAAAGAGCAAAGAAGAGAAAGTGAGTGAGGGTTTTGGGGTGGAATGATTGGCAGCTGAAATCATTTTCTTTAGCTCATTTAAAAACAAATGAACTAAAATGACAAACTGTATAAAGTGTTTCTCGTGTGTTCTGGTAACATTATTCTCTCTCCGTCTGCTCTAAAGAGCACGTCTCTGAACACATCAGGGCTGAGGTGTTTTTGGGAGCTGCTCTGTTTTGACTTGCTTTCAGAACAGAATCTTTTGAACTTAACCAGGCTTTCTTCTAACTGGTGTATGAGTCTGAAATGCACAGCAGAGAAGAGAAGAGAAGAGAAGAGAAGAGAAGAGAGAAGTAGGGCAGAGGAGAAGAGAAGAGAAGAGAAGAGAAGAGAAGAAAAAAGAGAAGAGAAAAAGAGAAGAGAAGAGAAGAGAAGAGAAGAAGAGAAGTCACCTTGTTAGGAGTGTTGAATGATCCTCTGAATAACAAGTTTAAATCCAAAACAAGCTATTTTCTGTTTTCCATCCTACCAATTAAACATAACAAACAAATAAACAAAAAGAGCTGATCCCCAATCTAGACAGGATCTACTCCCTCAGCCCAGCTAATGGACCGTGTTCAACACATCTGACAAGTGTTTCAAATCCGTTCTCCTTCAGTTTTGATGCAAAGAGGAAGCGTCAGGCAGATAGAAGAGGCTTTCACACACAAAACCAGTGAAACTTCCGGATTAGCTTTTCCGGTAAAAGCAGCCATTTGTGTTGTTTACACAAGCAACATGTTTTCAATGTGTAACTGTTATTCACACGATACCACCGATGCTGTTAACTGCAGCCATGTCCAGCAAAATGCTGTTTATTTCTGTATCTGTCCAATGTGTTTATTTCTGCACGTGTCCAAGGTGGACATTTCTGTCAGCGCCTGACCAAGTGTCAAATTTAAATCTCACACTTTACAGTGTTTAATAGTAGATGGTACAAATATAAACCTGGCACCTGCTTAAGAACTTTGTGATTGGCTCACACATTACAACAACAGAGTGTCTTACATTAGATCATCGTGACATTCTGCACGGTTCAGCCATTAATGGTACAATACTGTTCACAAAGTAAAGAGTTTTTAGTGGAAATGTGGGAGCCATAAAATTGTCATACATTTGCCAGAGATTGTTGGCTGGCATTTTGAAAATAGACTCCTATTCACACATGACCTCCAAATGGAAAGTGCTACAGAAAAGGCTGCATGGTCAGAGTGAGTCAGGGAGAGGGGGAGAGAGAGAGAGAGAGAGAGAGAGAGAGAGAGAGAGAGAGAGAGAGAGAGAGTGAGAGAGAGAGAAAGAGAGCAACAGAGAGACTTTTTCTCCTACCCTGTAGAGAGCGCTACATTTGTCCTTAAAGCAGGGTGCTAAGCGGGAGTAGATCTGGAGAGAGTAGTAATAGGCAGCAAGCTGGAGCGACAGGGCCGATGGGGGCTGCTTCTCAAAACACGAGTTCGCATCCAACACCTGAGAAAGAGAGAGAGAAAGAGGCATTTAACACATTTTACTGAGCCATCGTAGCCAAAATTCTGGAAAAGTGAAAAATAGAGCCAAATAGAATAGAGAGAAGAGAAGAGACGAGACGAGACAATAGGAGAGGAGATAAGAGATGAGACAAGACAAGAGACTTTGTGAGGAGAGAAGAGATGATAAGAGACGCAGAGAGGAGAGGAAAAGAGAGACGAGACGAGGGCTGTGGAGGGGAGGAAAAAAGTGTAGAAGAGGAGAAGAAAAGAGACGAGAGGAGATAAGACGAGACAAGACACGATGAGAGGAGACAAGAAGAGACAAGGCGAGGAGAAGAGATGAGAAGAGAGATTGGAGACGTAGAATGGAAGAAAAAATAAGAATAAAGAAGAAGACAGGAGAGAAGTACAGCAGAGTGCAGAGAAGAGAAGAGAAGAGAAGAGAAGAGAAGAGAAGAGAAGAGAAGATATTTGATATTTGTCTCATTTGAATGTTTCAGATCATACTTTTAATATTAGAAAAAGAAAACCCAGGTAAACACAAAATGCTGTTTTCAAATGATGATTCAATTTATTAAAGGAAAAGTGCTGTTCAGTCCTACCTGGCCCTGTGTGAAAAAGTCTCTTAACCTCTAAATCAACCAGTTAACCTAATTCAATTGACTAATGGGTTCAATTTCACTGACCACACCCAGGCATGATTACTGCCAGACTAGTTGAATCTAAACATCACTTTAATAAAACTGTCTACCAATGTGAAGCAGGCTACAAGGTCTCAAAAAGCAGCACATGATGCCACATTCTGAAGAGATTTAAATACAGACGTGAAACAAAGTCATTTCCCAGTCTGGAAGAGGTCACAAAACCATTGCTAAGGCTCTGGGACTTCAGCAAACCACGAGAGCCATTATCCACTAATGGAGAAAATTTTGAACCTACCAAAATTTCACCAATTACCACAAAAGGACCCACACAAAAATCTAAAGAACTGCAGGTCTCACTTGTCTCAATTAAGGTCAAAGTACACATATACTCAATAAGAAAGACACTGGGCAAAAACTGCATCCAAGGCAAAAACCATTGCTGACATAAAAGAACACAATGTCTTGTCTCTAGACGACCCCCCAAAAATTTGAGGTAATATTCTGTGGAATGAATATTAACTTTTTGGAAGATATGGGTCCTGTTACATCTGGTGTAAAGCTACCACTGCATTGCACCATCATACCAACAGTCAAACATGGTGGTGGTAGTGTCACGGTCTGGGGCTACTTCGTTTCTGCAGGACCTGGACGACTCGTCATAATTGATGGAACCATGAATTAGTTGTTTTGTTTTTTTTTAAGGAGAATATCCGCCCATCAGTTTGTGACCTAAAGTTCAAGTGCAGTCAGGTGATTGGCTCAAAAGAATCAAAATTAAAGTTTCGGAGTGGGCAAGCTGCATTCTGTGATTACTCGTGTTGTCTTTATCTTATACTAAAATGATATTAAAATTAGCACAGAAGAAATTGGCTGAGGGGCAAACACTTTTTCACAAAGACACCAGTGTGTCCAGCACTAAATCCCAGAGCAGGAGTCTTACTCATTCTCTCAGCATTTATGGAATGACAGGACAAATCTCACATTTGGGCAATCAGCTACGGGATCAAGGACATATCCTGATAATCCACTGGCTGAATTAGAGATGCCGTACGCTGCTTCAGCCGAGGCTGTTATTCAGGCGAAGGGAAAGGAAGTAAACAGCCACAATCCTGAGTTAATGCACTTGTCTGCCTGTAGCAAATGGGCACGCTCTGTGGTATTAAAGTGGGCTCTTTTAAAATTTCCCTTTATATTTATTTTCTTTTTAAATACCAAATCCGCCTCAGTCAGTGGCGACATGGCTTAAGACCAGCTCACGCTTCACGCATGAAAAGGAGAGAGAGAGATGCACTAATCATATCACAGGACACTCATATTCTCCCACAGACACACATACACATACCTGTGATCTGTAAATAGAGCAGGGTGACTTACCTGAGGAAGAGCGAGCAAATAGGCCAGAGCAAGCATCATGTCGCGGGGAAAAGCGGCGCTAGCCAGCTGGAGCAGAACTGAGGGGTGATGAAGAGGGGGAGAAAAATTAATACTTCAGACTTATTACCAGAAGACAAGCATCATCTGGCGCTGTCGTTCATTACAGCACAGAGAGAGAATAAAAGACAGCGTTTGTGTATAATCTGCTTTAGGATGTGTTTATGTCTCCTGGTTACGGGGCTACAGTACAGTCTAAAATATTATCATCTTCTTTCATCTAATTACTGTAACATTTCAGTTCTTTATGTAAACAGGCTCTGCGCAGGGCAGTGTGGAGCACTGGGACCCCACAAAAGGAATACTGTGTGTGTCAATGTGTGTGTAGCAAGTCACTGTTTACACCGTCACACACACAAACATAGATAAATGTTGTTAGATCTGCTCATACAAGCTCTCCTAGCTGGTGTTTCAATAGGAACAGGGACTAAAGTGACCGTCTGCATTTAGATCTATAAGAAAGAGTTCAGTAAAATGTGTCTGAAAGCAAAATCACATTCAATATTTGTGTATTAGTGCAATATGTAAGGGAAAACAGAAGCACAACTGTTTCTCAGGAAGGAAGGAAGGAAGGAAGGAAGGAAAGAAAGAAAGAAAGAAAGAAAGAAAGAAAAGAAAGAAAGAAAGAAAGAAAGGTGAAAAAACAAATAGGAATGTGAAAAGAAATTATGAAAAATAAACAAACAAAAAACAAATAACAAGAAAAAAAAGAGAGAAAGAATACAAGAAATAAAGCAAGAAATGAAGCAAGAAAGAAAGCAAGAAAGAAGGAAAGATTCATTGTCCATGCATTAGTGTGATATATAAGCAAAAATAGAAGAACATCTGTTGCTCAGGTGACAAAGTGTTAATACAGGTCATGATCAGACAGCATCAGTGAGATCAGTCCATCCACAGACACACAGGGAGGGGTGTTCTAGGAGGGGAGCAGTGAATAAACCCCTCATTACAGAGACCAATGACGATCTGAAAGGTCTGAGGAGCTGAAACCATCAGCACTGCTCTACAGAGATGGGTTATCCTTCACCATCTTCTGCACAAGTGGACAAAAGTATGTGCAGGATACATCAGGAGAACGGTACAGGCCTCAGTGCTTGACCCCTGCAGCGTGGGGGTCCGGTGCTTCTGTTATGCTGTGAAGGGCACTTCGCTGGCATGGTGTGGGTCCACCTGTTCAGTTAGTGTGACGGGTCACTAAGAATAAGTACAAAGCTATTCTGACTGATCATCTTTATGTTATGAACCAAATGCAACCCTAAACACACAGGTCAGATCAACAGGTGAGGGTAACGTATCTGTCAGCCCCACATCACTGCTGCTCTCCAGACCGCACTAATGCCCACTGACGTCCTGTCAGCTATTCTGGGCTGCCACTGTATTAGCAGCGTTTCATGTGTCACCCAGCGGCAGCAGCTCACTTTAATCAGGAACAACAAAAGCACAGGGAGACGTGAGTGTGCGTGTGTGTGTGTGTGTGTGTGTGTAGGTGTGCGCATGTTGGGCTGGAAAGCCGCCAGAGCTGGTTAAGTTCTCCAGTGTTTCAGCACCAGCACAACCACAGACAGCCTGACAACTCCTACTGACACATCTGTACTGAGCATAGCACTTAAACACAACACAGACCACACACAGCAACAGAGCAGAGAGAGAGAGAGAGAGAGAGAGAGAGAGAGAGAGAGAGAGAGAGAGAAGAGGAAGAGAGAGAGAGAGAGAGAGAGAGAGAGAGAGAGAGAGAGAGAGGAGGAAGAGAGAGAGAGAGAGAGAGAGAGAGAGAGAGAGAGAGAGAGAGAGAGAGAGAAACAAAGGAAAAAGAAACATAAATGCAAAAATAATGCAAAAAAGGAAAGAAAAGACACTAAGAGGGCACAAAAAACCAATTTTAATATCCACAGAAAAAGAGAAGGAACAAATATTTTAAAAGAAAAAAGAAAAAACTAAGGTGGAAAAAATAGAAAAAAGAAAAAGGAAATGATAAGAATAAATAAAGGGAAAGAAAAATAAAAAGGTAAGGAAACAAAATTATAATATAAATATAATGCAAAAGACAAAGACGAGACAAAAAAAAGTGAGAAACACTAAAAAACCACAATGTTACTTAATTAAATGAAAGAAAAAACTAAGAAAAAAAAATTGGAAAAATAATGCAAAAAATGATGAGAGAAAAATATACAATGAATGAATAAACAAACAAACAAAGACAATAAAAAGAAAAGGAAAAGATAACTATAATTATAATGCAAAAGAAAGAAAAAACAGAATGGAACAAATCAAATAAGAAAAAGAAGAAAATGATAGAAAAAGCTAACAAATAGTTAAAGAAAAATGGGAAAAAGAGAAAGAAAAGAAATAAACTAAGAAAGAAAAGAAAAGAGCAAGGTGAAAAAAATAATGCAAAGACAATAAAAAAAAAACAAAAAATAAAAAAGAAATGAGGTACAACAAACAAAAATAAAACGAAAGGAAGATGTGGAAGAAAATGAAAAAGAATGAAAAAAATAAGAAAAGGAAACACGAAAGAACCAGCAGATGCTACAACGAAACGAAATTAAGAAGAAAAGAAAAAGTGGCAAAAGTGTGACCGGCTGGCTTCTTTAGAAATAAAGAAACGTATCAGACTGAATCAGACACATTAATCCAATTTGTCATGTGGGACTTTTCTACAGCCAGACAGTGTGAACTCTAAGACTTATTTAAGGCTTATTATGGAGGTCTGGAAACAGACCCTCTGTGGATGAGAACAGCCGACCCAGACAATACAGCACACAGACCATCTCTGACATTACAGGATCAAAAAACACCCTCAATACTGAAGCTTCACACTGACACACACTGGACCTGGCAGATGACAGAAGACAGGCACGCAGTATTTAACGCAGATACAGATCTACAGGTGGAGCGACTCTGTCTGCACGTACAGAGACAAAGTGAGTTTTACCTCTCCAGCTATTCATTAAGTGTTACTGTACAATAACTTACACAACGGTGACTCCGAGCTAAATATACACCACAGAAAGACGGCAAGACACAGAGAAAAAAGACTCAGGCAACTTTTCTTATTTCTGGCTTTTCCAATGAGATTATTTAATGTTCCGTTTTTTTAAATGTGCGTATTAGAAGTGGATGAAAACCCTCTAGAGCAGCGGTTCACAAAGAGGGTCATCTAGAGGGGCCACGGGAAGATCCTGGAAGTTGTATCGCTACTTAGTTGCATTTAATGTTTAACGCTCTCCTGCGTCTACTTAACGAGTTATCTGTACTGTTACAGAACACCTCCACGTCTGTTGTACATGCAGGTCAGCAACAGCTTCGGAGAAAGTTAGCAGAATGGACACTGGTGAGACAATGTCCGGTCAATTAAAATTAATGTAGTGAGGGGTGTCGCATTAGTACTTAATATCCACAGAGGGGGCTTAGACTAAAAATTAGAGAAACGCTTCACTGCTGCTTCTCGGGGGGGAAGAAGGGTGAGAGAGAAGTGGGGGAGAGAGAGGCAGACAGACAGACAGACAGAGGAGAGAGAGAGAGAGAGAGACAGAGAGAGAGAGAGAGAGAGAGAGAGACAGAAAGGAGAGAGAGAAGGGGGCAGAAGGGAGAGAGACAGAGAGAGATGGGAAAGAAAGAGAGGAAAAGGACAGAGAGAAAAAGTCAGAGTGAGAGAGAAAGGAGACAGAGAAGTGGGGGAAAGAGACGAGAGAGACAGAGAGAGACACAGAGAGAGAGAGAGGGGAGAGAGACAGAAGGGAGATAGAAAAGTGAGGGGGGACATGAGAGACAGAGAGAGGGGAGGGGGGAGACACAGAAAGGAGAGAGAGAAGGGGGGGGCAGAAGGGAGAGAAAGACAGAGAGAAGGGAAAGAAAGAGAGGAAAAGGATAGAGAGAAAGAGTCAGAGTGAGAGAGAGTCAACGTAAGGTGGAGAGAGAGACCACGACAGAGTCAGAAAGAAGGAGTTAGAGATAGCAGGGGAGAGAGTGTTCCTGCTCTTTATGCTTGCCACCATTTGCATTTCTATGGCAAAGTTCTTCCTTCTTCTCCTCCGTGCATCGATTTCCTCGTTCAGCTCATCCATCTTGCAGTGAGAGGGCCTGATATTTTGACTAGCCGCTATCTCTCTTGTATCGTGAGGCGACGCGTTATTTACTGCTGTCGACTCGCCGTGAGTATACATTAATTAATCAATGTGATGCAACTGTTCCGGACGCGCAAGGCCAGAGAACGGCCATTTGTCATAGAGACGGACAGCGGGGAGCAACAGCGGCCCCCTCGGGTTAAACGCTCTGCTACTGCTAACAGCGACAATGCAGCTAACAAGAGCAGCAGCAGTGGAATTCTCAACAAGAGGAAGTGTGTTTTAGCATGTTTTTGGAGAATGGAAGACATGGAAGGGATTTACCAATCAGACCTGAAACATCGATACTGTCAGCAGATTCTTCATATTAAATGAGCCAGATTTGGATAGCAAATAAACTCAATATGTAGCTAGTGAACATGTGCTACCTTCTGTGGCAGGGAAGACCTGCTGACCCTCACTCTTGGTCTCAGCAAGCTTGCCAGTGCGTAGCAGGACTTCTGCAAAGCCTTCTTGAGGGATGTAATCGTATAAGGAGTACACATCCTCAATCTGAAATACACAGTGCAGCAAAGATTCAAACACGCCAAAACAGTCATTATTTTTCTTATGTCATCTATTACAGTGACTGCTATTATTAACTATACAATATCATTTAAAAGTTTGGACACTCCTAAATAAGTTAACATTTTCAAAGTGTTAAAGTCATTTGATGCTTCTGCTTTATGAATTTATTTCTAAGACAAATTTAAATAGTACAGATGAAATCAAATTGGACCTTTTTTACCTTATTATTTCATGTTCCTGCTCACATTAAACACAATCATATTGTACAACATTTGAGTCCATATCCTACATGTTCTTTTTTTCGTGTGTGTGTTTCTGTCACCAGAACAATCATAGTTCATTTATACACAACTCTTTATCCCTTGCCAAAAAAACAGGTTATGTTAAAACACTTCTTATAACTTCAACGGGAGGGGCTAAACTGGCACAGGCTGAATCGGTGGCTGTATGACATCACAAAACAATCAATTCTAAACAGGCTATTTTTGCATCTTCCATGTATATTTTCCATATATATATATATATAAAAACACCACATGGTGTGGCTAGAAAACAGAATGTCTTTGTGATGCTTCATGCACCTGACACATAATAATCAATAATACTCGCGCCCGTTGCCACGCATGGCCATGTAAAACACAGGAGCGGCTGCAAGAAGCACTCAGCGGTGCAGTTTTGTCTAAAACCTCCTTTTGTTGAGTTTATAAGAGTTATTTAAGCTGTCCATGCTTATGTTTAGTTTGTCTCGCTGTTTGTGGTTCACTGGGTCCATCATTGTAACACGGCAGGGCAAAATACATGTCATGAGAGAACATCATAATGGTATACCTCCCACTCTTACGCTACATCAGAGACATTATAAAGGAAACGCTGCCACTGCTGTAACGTTTTCCCTGCTAGGTCGACTTCTGCTACATCAAACAAGGTAGTGTGAAAAGAGACTGCAGATGTAGATGTGTTTTGCATGTGCAGAGACCACACCACATGCAGTAAAAATTAAAACACGCAAAATAAACATTCCTCTCGCAAGGTAAAATCAGTTCTGCTAACCAACATCTTTTGCTAGCTTGTTTTACTCGTGTTCTCGATTGTACTCCACACGGTAAAAAAGCAAACACTAAAGGAATCTGAGGTGGGTTTTAGAGAGGGTGTATGGTCGTTAGCAGCTGATTTTGCTGCACTTTGCTGCAGGACTATAAGTTGTTTGTTTTTATTTATTTACACTTTTTTTAGTCACTGCATATTTCCTTGTATGTTATTTCACAGTTCTGAAGTCATTATTATTATAAACCGTGAAAAACAGTAATAATAAGTAAAACCCTTCAAGAGCAGGTGAGTCCAAACAGCTAGACAAGAACGACGAGAAAGAGGACGAGGCTGAGGAACTAACTGGATTGATGTATGGATCCTCTAGCAGCTCCTCGTAGAAAGGGCTGCATCCTTGCCTCTCCATTTCAACGTTTTCCCCAGCTTCACCGCCACGGTTAGAACCCGACCCCTGACCCTAAAGAGAGAGAAAAAATTCTCATCAAACATTCATGAAACATTTACACAACATCCACAATCCCAAGCGACATTCACTATGTTACACTAGGGCTCATAATGCATCAGAGCTTTCATCCCCATATGCACCAATCCAAGGACAGACCCTTGCTCAGGTTAGCCTTCAGAGAAATTCACTACAGAAGACTATTTTAAATATAGATGTTCTTCTCGTCATTGGCGTTGGAAGCTAAAGAAAGCTTTCAGGCAGTTATAGTAGAGCGTAAGAGAGCACCGAGCACCCAAATTGACCCATTAATGGGTTCATAGCTTCACCTCTGCCAGGTCTGAATGGTAAATAGTAGAAATCTACAATGCACAAGGAGTTCAATTGGGTCAATTTTTCCTTTTTTACCATGGAGAGAACAGTGGGGATCTTTCTGAGCTTTTCCAGACTGGAAATGGTCATAGAGGGGTGATCTTGGTAACAGCATCACTGCAGGACCTCAAAAACAGCACGTTTATGTGGATGAATCTGTGTCTGCATGTGTGAAAGGCACTGGAGAATGTATGTATTTATATATGTACACTACAGACCAATTAAGTCACTTTGCCAACAACCAACACAACACGTTTACTGCCATCTAGCTTACTTAATGAAGATTTCCAAAATACTTTACTTTTCTTCGATAAAGCTTTATTTTTTCTGGATAAAGTTATATTTTTTCTTACTTTTATTAGCTCTTTTTATAGATTATTTTGTGTTTACCCTTGTTCTTATGCTTTATGTTAGGTTTGGACACAATTTGCGTGTTTTTGTTATTTTAATCATGATGTATTGTTGTGTTGTTGTCTCATGCAGTCGTATGCAAAAAAACACCCCTTGTCAAATTATGTTTTGTTCATTTTTAAAGAAAAAACAAGTTAAAACATCCTCTATAAAGAACAAAGTTATATATAATTTTTTTCTCCAAACTTTCTCCAAATTGCACTTTATTTATTTATTTCTTTATTTATTTTTTCATTTTTTATGCACAGGCCACATTTTGTGTTTTTTTTCCCTCCAATATGTTAAAAAAAAGTAATTGTGCATTAAAATGTGCAAAAGTATGTTCTCTGTAGAGGATTTGTAAACTCGCATTCACACCAACAAAAAAAATCAACAAAACCTATCATTTGAATGGGGTGCTAAAACCTTTGCATACGACTGTGGTTAAAGAAGGGCTGAGTCTTTTAGTGTGGCTCTTATGCCTAGTGGTCGTCTACAGTCTGGCGCAATCATCAAGAGATCATCAGTCTGAATACTGGTGATACTTATTACCACATTGTCAGCAAACATTTCACAGACACTAATAAAACTGTGGTGCATCAATATGGCGGATATTAATGGCCAAACAAATTATTGCACAGGCTGTAGTTAATAAATAAACCCTTTCAACAGATAACACGGCTGAAAAAATTATGCTAACAATCTATTGTTATTCAAGATCTCTTGAAAGAAAATGACAAATTTCATGTTTATGTTTACAAAGGTAGTGTTGCTTTTAATCTGTTGGTCTGTAGTGTGCGCTGTGGTTCTTAAATCGATTTCAAACCAGAAGCGGTGCGCATGATAAGCAGGAACCACTCCACAATGCTTTTTATATCATCATGCAAAGCAGTTTCTGTTTGCATTGTGTTTACATATAATACAACTGCCTTTAAAGTCAGTTTATTGCTTTTATGTTGATGACATAGGACACAGCTAGCTTTTCAAGTCATTAACTGCTTGAAAGTGAAAGAAAAATAAAAACCTAAACGCTACTGTGACATTTGCTGGCTTTCTCACCATGCGTTCTATATATTTATATCTATAATAATTATACTATTTCTATTGTGTTTATATATAGACAGAAAGTTTATATATTGACAGACAGTCGGTGCTCTTTATTTGTTGCTGAGGAGGATTTTTTTTTGCACACAAAAACACATTTTCAGGTTCTTCTGGCTACTGTGCAAGTGCATTCTCCACAAGGAGGGGGAGCTTTTCTTGCTCATGGTTTTACCAGCAAGCTGAGTGGCTCACTTCATTAAAGGGCAGAACTTTCCCTGTAAACAGATGCGACGTTGAGCATTATTAGTTTTCCCATTAACTGTCTCCTCCTTAACGTCTCTGGATCATCTGGTGTGAAACTGGCTTTGCATGCAGTATGTGGATAGTCTGTGTAAATAGTACTGTACGTGCCTTACATGCAGTGTGTCTGTGTTTGGTTAGTGTGTCTTCTGTGCATCTTACATGCAGCGGGCGGAGATAGTTAAGAGACTCCTTCCACCAGTGCGAGTCACTGACGGCAGTGAGAACAGCCTTGGTGGTGAGAGTGGTGTTGGTCAGGACCTCCATGGTGCGGGCAGTGGTCCTCTGGAGTAGCGCTGTAGGCTGAGCACCTCCCAGAGACCCTCCACTTACTCCCATAGTAGCCTGCTACAATCACAGACAGACAGACAGAGTGAACCTCAGAGCCACACAGAGACTGACAGACTGACTTATTGTACATTCCAAAGATGAAGTACTGAGCAGGTGAAGTAACCTCCTTCTATTATGTGCCAAAGTCACCACTAGTTTTAAAAAATGAGCTTAAAACAATTAATTTAGCATTTTATTAGCACTCGCAGCTCTTTTTTTATCACCCTCTTTTCTACTTTTGTGTACTTCCCCACATTTCATATTACTTACTTTATTAAACAGACATAAATGCTGTGTTCTTTACTTCCACATTCCATCTACAGTGATTTACTTACACAGCTTTACTTTTTATGTACATAGACAAAAGCACCTTGAGCAGCATTCTTTTGTATGAAAAGTGCTGTATAAATAAAGTTACAATCATTATTAGACCTCAGAATCAAATACAGGGTAAACACTAGAACCAGGAACAGGCTATAATTCAAAACCACTAAAGCACTGGGGAGGCACTCAACACAGACCTTCAAGCTATTTTATTTAAATATGATGAAATAATCGAGGCACGGCAGACACTCAAAATACGTTCAAGGTTTATATACTAAGGATCAAGAAGCATGAATGGAATTTAAAGGGGACTTCTCCATATATCTGCATAACTCAATCAACGGTTTAGTGTGAAACAGTTCATTGTAGAGAAATGTATCGACCCTGATTTCTTTATAGTGGTGGTGACAGGAACCAGTTATTGCCATGTTTACAATGCACATATAGCTGTTTTATTTACAATACAAAATGACCAGTAAACCTACCCGTGTCTCCTGAGTTTTAAAATGTAATGATAATGCTAAATCTGAAAAATACATTTCATTTGGGCATTATTTTTTCTGGACACTGGATATTTTTATTTGTATTTTGCTGTATAACACTCTGCAAAGACCTCTCCACCATAAATGTAATTTTAAAACATGGTTTCAGATAAAACCACACCCAAAATCATCTTACAGGCATCAGGAATCATTCATAACCATTTCATATAATAACCTTATGTGAGGCAGCTTTTAGAGGCATGAAATGCTTTGGATATCTCTCTCCTAGCACCACCACTGTGAACAATTGTGAATCAATGCGTGTCAAGAAAGGCCCAATTTACACCAAAAGACCCTGAGTATTTTTGAAAAATCAGTGAGTTCTCCTTTAAGATACTTGGTATTACATCATTTAAAGCATTAGATTGCCTAAAACAGGAGCATTAGTACTAATAAACATAATCATTAGTACAAATAAACATAATCCTCTGTAGGACATACAGAAGAAAAAAAAAGGCAGTGTAGGTGACCTAAAACTACACTACTCTCCGCTATAAACTGTATTTTTGAAAATACATTCATGGTGAAACATACAGGTTTTTAATGGCTTTAGATGGGAATATTTAGGCTTTTAAAGGCTTTAAAGCTAACAAGTTATAAGTATGCCATTTCCTAATAATAAATAAATAAATTCTTTTACATATTAACATTTATTAAATTCATTTTGTTGGCTAAAAATCTCGTTCGGATTTTTGTGTCTGTAAGATGTTGATGTGTTGATCATTGTCAAACTCGCAGTATTTTGGGGCAAGTAGGGTTTTTGTTTTAAAGGTAGATGAGCGTCACATTGGAGCTGGATTACCTTCATTTGAGGGCTATAATTTCAATGTTTAGAGACGAGATCAGTGATTTCAATCCAGAACGAAAGATCAGTAGATTTTACAGTCTAACAATAATAACTGCTGAGTGAATGATAATTCTGTAATTGGCTGAACCTGGAGCTCCCTCAGTAACAGTAGTCATGTTCCAATCCACCTCACGCTAATGAAATAAACAAACCTGCTACCTGACATGGCCATGCTCTGTATTGTTATTGTTATTGAGTGGCCTAACAGTAAACTGTACCATCCAGGTTATGATTTTTTCATCAGCACTTGATCTTTTCATCTGCTTTAATTTAGGGAAATTTATCCCACACTAATCAGGCCAGTCAGATCCCTATAAAACTGGACACATCTTTGAAGAGTCAAAACTAATCTAGCTCAAACATTGCTTAAGACTGACTATATAGTTTTACAACTTCATGAAGAAATCAGATGACCCCAGGTTTAGAAACCCCAGCTTTATGCTACAATATTAAAGCACACTTTTTTAAACTTGTACACATTTTTAAGCAGTTGGGCACACGCATCGCCCCAAAATCATTTCCCCTCATCAATACTTCCCCTCATAAATACTATTTGCCATTAACTAGTAATTTAGCCAGCAAACATTACATGGACGCATGCCTCAAAGTTGCACACACATGAGTGTGTGCATGAATGCTTAAATACACTCATGGCAACTCTTTTAACACTGTGCTGGTGCCAGCCATGAAGCCAGCAGCTCAGCTCGAAGGCCATCATAGTTACAGCATATGAAAAATGCAGTGAGCACTTTATGGCCTGTTAAACAAAGACCCACCGCATTTAAAGTGGAATCCCACCATCTTTTTTCTAAACTTCTGCATTACTCTTTCTCTAATTACTCTTGTAGAATAAACAAAGTCATTCAAATGAGTGATTTGATGTGTAATGTCCTGTTCTAGAGGAATTTATCGAGTCAGATCGAGTTCAAAGTGGTGGTGATAGGAACCAGACATCTGCAGCATTTAATGCCTCCTACACAGAACGCTATTACATGACATGGTTTTGAATATGTATGAGGAATTGTTTTACAACAACAATCTTCAAGACAAAATTTTGGCTAAAAAGTGTTTTCTGTTTGGTTTGTTTTAACTGCATTCATGGCTGAGAGCTACATGCAGGGCATCACTATGTAAAATAGTAATACGGTAAAGAAAACTTTTTTCCAGATTTTTCACATTTCTTTTGATTCTTACCCGAATCTCCCCTTGATTTAGTATTATTAAGTGTTGTCAGGTCGTTCGGCAACCATATGGGCAGTGTCCCTCCATAATATCCTGCCTTCTGTTTGGATCTTCAGACTTCTGATTGGCTTGTTCATGATTCCTCTGATTATATACATACATCTTGATGCTGGTCGTCCTTTTTCTCTTTTACCTTTAATGCTTTACAAGAATAACAGTCTTTTCCAATGATCGGTTCTTCTCAGAGTATCCAAAATATGTCCAAAATAAGCTTCAGTTTGGTTATCTGGGCTTCGAGTGAGAGGTGAGACTTTATTTATTTATCTGAGGATCCATTAATTTGTTTTCTTTGCCATGCAACAAACTCTCAAAAGTCAAAGTTGCCACCAAAGTTGAAAGGCATCGATATTTGTTTCTTTCTCACTTGTTTATTGTTCAGATTTTACACCCACAAAGAACCACAGAGAAGACCATGGCCTTGACAATTCTGATTAATGATCAGAGACACATTTGAAGCTCTTTTCACACCTTCATCCTTGTTCTGCCGAGTGTCAATCTGCGTCGTACTTCTTGAGTGCTGAATCCTCTGTTTTTAATAATTGATCTGAGGTGGCAAAAGCATTTCCACCATTTCCAAATGTTCTCCATTAATGGAAAAGTTAGCAGTCTTTCTTCTTGTTATAACCTTAGTCTTCTTCATTTTGAACTGAAGTCCCAACTTTTTTTTTTTTTTTTTAACTTTCCTTATAAGGACTTTCATTCAGGTGTTTCAGTATGACCCCCTATGTCAGTCATGTCCAATTCCCATTTGCTAGTTAGTTCTCCCCCCATCACACTGGCATTGTGCTAAGTGATGGGGGATCCACCCAGAAGAGAGTGAGTCCCTACACTTACCACTATTTTATCACTGTCAACATATAAATATACATATCAACATAAACATGCAAATATACATATTATCAACCTAAACATAAACAACTGAGAAGATAAGTGTAGAGTTCATTGGCCATTTTGCATGGTAAATAAAACAACTACACTTGCGTTGTAGACATCTTGACTCCTAGTTCCTGTTTACAATGACTCAATGACGGAATTCAGCAGAAATTAAACAAAATAGTGATAAGAGAGGAATTCTCCTTTAACACACTCGCCGCACTGCACTCAGCTCACATACAGCTCCAGCAAAACATCCACTCACACAGTATCCAAGCGTGTAGACAATTATTGACTGCTACCTGATCCGTATCGTCCCCCACTCCTTTGGCTTGAGAAGGGTCAATCTTGTAATCTACCGCCTGGTAAAGAATCTGTTAAAAAACAGACAAAAACAAAAACGACCTTTCAGTCATACATTTTCTGCAGAGTTTTCATTTTTGTGGAAGAGATGGGTGTGTTTACTGGAACATATAGATATCCAAACTCATCTTAGTGTGTGTACTTATTTGGGTGTTCAAATATGGCTTGTGCAGTTTGTAATTAGAAATGAAATGTATTTTGTACAGCAGAGAACTGCAGAACACAAGCAGCAGTCATCTATGCATTTTCTTTTCTTAATAATGTTGATAAAACATTTTAATGGAAATATGTATGATTTATGAAACCAAAAGCAAACTCGATTTTCATCTTTGTAGGTGAGCAGACAAGTCAACATTTATAAAAGTGTTATTCTTGTGTTTGAATGCTATTTTTAATTGCTGGGGGTTTGGTTTGATATCAAAAAAAGCTGTCAGTTTTATCTTGGCATGGCCGTCTTTGTGGAAAGGTGTGAACTGCTTTCACAGCAGGGGGTTCTCACCTCATCATTGCTCGCTAGCAGCTCAACATAGAGTCACAACATTTACCCACAGAAAGCCAAGTCCTAGTTGCTCTGATAACAGAATTACAGAGGAAAATATTTTATTTAACTGCATTAATTACAAATTACTACTCAACCACAAAACAACTACCAAACCACACAACCAAACCTTACCAAAAACTACCAAACCACACCACAAACAGTTAGCTTCCAACAATAAAGTTTCTGACCAGAAAACATACTTTATTTTCCCAGTTTAAGCAGGTACAGCAGGTAGCGGAGTGTTACAAGATAACCAGCGGTGTTGTCATTAGTTACTGGAGAAAGGTGCCATAATCCTAAGTCTGGCACATATCTATAAGGAGCAGCCTGCAGTCTGTATTTACGGCTCCTTTTTCTGTGCACGCTGAAAAAGCGTTCAAGCGGTGGGCTGATTGCGCGGGTAAAACGGCTGCTTTCCCCTACCCCACTACACCACCCCCTTGATAGTATCTTCAGTCAGCGATGGATAGAGGGTGCAATCTGATGATGGTATTACCAGCCTAGTTCATAAATATTCCTAACAAACATTTTTTTATAAATTACCACAAATTTGTAAGAGAAAATTCAGTCATTGCTTACCACTCAAACACATCAGTTTCCAGTACGCCCACCAATTGTCTGCATGTTTTTGGGTGATCCTCCCTCAAATGCATATGGATGAGGGAGAGAACGCCATTTTGCATTTTTCCATGAACTGCATGTTTAGGTTCATGCTCTAGTTTGGTACATAACACGCTGGCAGAATGTGTCTGATTTGCTCCTGACACAGCCATGACAGACTGAGTGCAGCACTACCAGCTGACCTACAGAACAACAATTTATACAAATTTCTCATCTTTTTGTGTGAAGTGTTTCCACATACAGCTCTACCTATCTGACACTGTTTAGCCTCTTTCTGTAGATCTCCTATAGTGTGGTTTGGTAGTTGTTGGTGTGCTTGAGTAGTTTTTGGTATGGATTGGTGGTTGTTGGAATGGCTTTGTAGTTGTTGGCATGGATTTGTAGTTTTTGGTGTAGTTTGGTGATTTTTGTTTGCTTCTTTAGTTGTTGGTGTGGTTGGGTAGTTGTTAGTATAGATTTGATAATTTGCATGTTTACAGCTGATAAATCACGTATTTAAAAAAACAATTAAAACTTAACCATGTGAAGCAGCTAAATGCCACTGTTACTGTAGCTATGTGTTGTCTGTTTCGTTTTAAATAACTGAAGCAATCACAAGGTAAAAATCTTTTTAAGCCCCCGTTCATGTTTCCTGAAAGAAGCCATTCTGTGTATGGAACATTGCTGCACAGCTTTTTCAGTTTACCAAACATGACAACGTGTGGGGGAAATCTTTAGCCACCGCGCTGCTACAGAATGTTCTAAAGCCAGACAGCGTATCAGAGCTGATTCGGGACATGAACGTTAAACATTAAAAGAAAACTGATTGTGAAACAAGTATAATTACTTTTGTGCAGCATGATTTCAAAAATTTAAATTGTACTTGATTTGACAATTGCAACAGATGAAAACTATCAGAGACTGATGACACTATTATCGAGCCTATTACCGACAGAATAACACAATTCGCGCCTCAGAATCAGATGTAGTGATGTGGCCACAATATATTTATATGAGTATTTTTCAAATTCTACTCATTTTTTTAAGTGGACTAGAATCATACTTCTGTAAAATGTTTTGGAGGGAAAGAACTTCAAATTGTTTACTCATTCTACATCACTGACATTTCATTTAAGTAAGTAGTGGACGCGCAGTTTACATGATTAATTGCAGCCATGGGAAATCGAACGCTAAAGACACACTTACTGTGCTCGTGCGTACTTCTGGCCCACAATGTCCCTCTATGGCATCATTACACATTCATGATTTAGTGTTAGTTTGTTCCCTCTTTTCATGAGAAGTGCGCTTTGCCACTCGGCTGGAGGCAGACCACCATTATTCTGTGTTAAAACGTGTATGCAGGGGGGGAGAGAACAGATGACAGAGGGAGGGCCGATTGATTGAAAAGAATAAAGAAAAGACTGAGTTGATGTATTCTTTAGAAGTCTCATTTTAGATGCCAGAAGGACACAGACTCACACCAGCGCCTATTGTATGGGAAGAATATTGCTACACAATGACAGTGTGCACACATACATATATATATATATATATATATATATATATATATATATATATGTATATATATGTATATATATATATATATATATACACACACGTAAGAGTGAAAAGCAGGAACGAGTGCTTTTTCTGTGCAGCCTTTCCTGTCATAAAATCAGCAGTGTAAAAGCTGTTACAGTAGTCCAGCCTACCGTGCCCCATTCAACATATCTAAACTCTCACACTGTGCTCAGATCAGAAGTCCACAGAGGAAAGCTCTGAGCAAACGGCACCTATTGAGAAGTTATCAAAATCGAACCTCAGTACACGGGTCCTACTACAATGCTATATTTAATGAAACTTTACTATATAACACTTTTAGAAGTGACTGAGCAGATCTGAGCTGGCTATGCTGGACGATAGCAGCTATTAGTGAGAGACAGAAGAAAGAAGACAGTACAATACAGCTGGCTCCATATACACTGAACTGTACAATCAGAGAGAATGTTCTAAGGTCAAAAGAGGCAGAACTTCAACTCCTGCGTACAACACAAGCAAACAATACGCTGGACCTTATTTACCAAAGCTGTAGGTTACTATGATCAAAATGACTGGAAATTACTTTGTATCTATGTAAAGAGCAAGTGACTGAAAACTAGAGGGCAGCTGATAAAAAACAGTGTTATTACTGAAAACCAGCGTGCAACTTATTGAAAACCAGAGTGTGGTTGATTGAAACAAGACTGTTTGAGCTGATAGACAGCTGACTGAAATGAGAGTGCAGTTGATGAATACTAGAGTGGAGCTGATAAACTCCAAATTATCTTTAAACTAAAATTATCTTTTGATAAAGAGTAATTCACTGAAAACTAGAGAGTTTCTGATTAAAACTAGGGTGTAGTTGATGAAAACTAGAGTGCACTTTACTGTAAACCAAAGATTGTAATTTGTTGAAAACCAGCAAGAAGTTGATAAAAACTAGAGTGCAGCTGATGATGACAAGAACTAGATGCTTGCAAATGATGACAACTAGATGACTGCAAATGATGAGAACTAGAATGCAGCTGATGAAAAATTAGAGCACAATTGATAAAAAAACGCACCCGCAAACTTGTCCTTTACATTATTTGCTTATTTATTTAGTTTTATTTTATTTTTGAAGATGTTTTATGATTTAACCACTGTTAAAATATAAATTTTTCGGCAAATATGAAAATCACAAAACCAAAACTTTCTACGCAATTTGCGAATCTAATGTGCAATTAGATCATCTGCAATATTGATGAACAAGGGTCCCTGTGCTTGGAACAAAGCTTCCCACAGAGCTTGGCAAATGAGTGTTGTGGCTTGCTCCTTTTAGCGGAGTTCAGTTAGTTTGGTGCTGATATGAAATCAGTTTTGTAGTTTCTCTTCTAATGCTAATTCTAATGAAACCAATGGTCAGCATGGAAAAGTTAATTGTTCCTACACTGGTGTAAAAAGCCCACTTGTACCCAGAGTTTGGCTGTGAGAGAAGCGCACCTGTGTCTGCAGGGAGCTGGAGGCTGCTAGCAGGTTCTGGATGTTGGCGGGAGGGCAGTGTGTCAAGGCGAACGCCATCAACTCCTGACGAGACGACAGTCGGGTGTAAGTCTCGCACTGACCCAACTGAGAACACACATCCCAACCTTTGCTGTAGCCTGGAGAAAAAAAGATTCAACACCTTTTTATTGTGTCAGTGTAGTCTATAACTACAGACTCCTACAGCAGTGACCGCCATAGATCCAACTCAAACTTAAGTTTGTTTTAATTACTTTGTTGTGTTTTTTTCTCCTTGCTTTAACAATAAGCACAAGGAGGATGTTTCACTGGTTTTAATACCGTACATAATACAGTGGTGCAGTCATGCACATGAAACAACCTTGAGAGAGAGACATTTTTAAACAAAGTAATTACAGCAAGATATAAAGTGCATCCAATTACAAACTCCCTCTGTTTACAGATACAGTAAACACAGTGGCACTTTCTCAGCCACTTTACAGCAAACTAGGGATGCACACAATGAGTCACTGACTATGTGGTTAGCTTTTCATTATAATCTTTTTTTCTTTATTTATGTTATTACTTTATTCTATAATCTTCCTTTTCCATTTGTATCTTTTTCATTATGTCTTATAATAATAATGGATCCTCATTATTGCTGGATTTAATGGCATTTAGCCAGTATTTGCTTTAAGGGAAGAGCTGAAGATACCACCAATAGTGGCTTTCTAGTGCAATAGTCTTAACATTTCCTTAGCACAAACCACAAGACCACTAGAGTATAGTGATACAAATATATTGTAGGTTGAGGATCTCATCACATTCCCAGACACTTTTCTTGTGTTTTGGTATACAGATTGCTTACTTAAGCTTCATCATCACACAAAGTACACAAAATGCACACAAACATTCTTCTGGAATAGCACAGTTGACCTCTCTGGCTGAAGTTAAAAGAAGTGGTGGGAGTAGCTCACAACTAAAAGAAAACACAATAAAACTTTGAAATACACCAGAACTATTTCAGTGTGCTTTAGCGTAGAGTCTACCGATCTTTGGAACTATCCTGGAGGGATGTATTACCATTCTTCCAAAAGCTATCCCCTCAGTTGGTGTTGTGATGATAGTAGTAGAGGATGCTGTCTAATACGTCAGTCCAAAGTCAAGTCTTAACTGGACCACAGCATATGATTTACATTATTTTCTTACTCATAAAGCCACTCACTGTCCCCTCACACGCTGTGGACGAGGGCCTTGTCAACCTGGAGGTAACCACTCCAAACAAGATAGAGATGTTTCATCAGAGGATGAAGCCAAAACCATAAAAGCCAAGTTTCACCCATAGCATAACAGAGCCACCAGACTCAACGCACTTGTCTTCGCAACAAGGGGTTTATGCACTACATAGATGGACTGCTCTTGCTGACACAGTCTGACCATGTCCTGCATTCTCATTCACCTGAGAAACAGTTGCTCTTATGTTTTTCCTTACACACTCCTCTAATGCACAAATGTTGTGGTCATTGAATGTGCGCTTTTGACCACAATTTCCATCCCTATGTACTGATGTTTTTCCCTTAGACATAAATGCAGAAGGCACTTAATCACTGTTTTCACTGAAACAACAGCCAGTTGAGCAGCCATTATGACAAGCTCCTGCAATCCATGCCTCAATAATGAACCCTCTTTTAAAGCCTCTTGGCTTTTCCTACTTTTCATGGCTATTCAGGTGGTGCAATATACATGGACCTTTCTAGTGAATTCAATTTGATTCCATTTTATTTATATTATTAACACTTCTTACTACAGACATAATCCCAAAGCATTTGTATGATTGTAATTTACAGTTATAGTACAGAAATTTAGGTCCAGATGACAGAATCAAGAAAATGATATTTCAAATGATTGCTTAGACATCCCAATAAGAAAGAATGCGCTGAAATAAGTAAACTTCCCTATTTTTTACTTTACTAACTACTGGCAGGTCTTACAGTCCAGAGACTACTCAGCTCTGAAAGTGGTGTGAGTGTATGATGTAAACCAGTTGCCCTATAATACGATACGGCTGCTCTTCCTGTCGCCTTTCTGGAGAAAAAGATTCAGCTGTGATTACGCTCTAGATCTTCACCTCTCTCACTCTCTCTGCCCTACCTTTTGTCTAATGATATCTTTAGCTCTCCTCATCCATCTTTCTAATCTTTAGCACTGTGTGTGTGTGTGTGTGTGTGTGTGTGTGTGTGTGTGTGTGTGTGTGTGAGTGAGTAATTAGGAAATGGAGCAGTAGAAAGGCTAACCTATTTTCCACTGTGCTGTTATTGGAGCTTGGAGACTGCTGCCGATAGCAATCAGAGATTAGCACCTTCTCTGTTCACAGCCCTGCGCTAATCTACTCACTGCTACACAAACACACACACACACACACACACTCACAAACACACACAGAGCACTATCTGCTTCTCAAATCTGATGCCCAGCTACTGCACAAAGACACACACAGATCTATCTCCTCCTCATCTGATTCCAGAGACTCTGAGACAAACGGAGTGAGAGACAGACAGTGCTAATGGAGATTAGGGAAAGGTTTTATATGATGGAATAGTTCACCTCAACATAAATAAATAAATAAGTAAATATATAAATCACTTGTACTAACCAACTCCTTCGCACAGTACATTAGTAGCCCCAGGGAACTTAAGTCTAAAGGATGCACTGAAATTTCAGCCACTGAAATTTTTGTTAAACAATTACAGCGCACTGCTGCTGATGCCATACTTAATAAAAATAATGAGTGGCATTGGCTTCGGATAATTAAGTTGTAGGACCGATTTAAATATCTTGTTTTCATACCTTGCTGACCATGACTTGATTCTCATAACTTAATTATCTTGCTCTCATGCCCTGCTAAGTTGAGGCTATGACTTGAGTATCTCATTCCATGGCTTACCAAGCTACGGCCACGCATAGAAATCGTATTTCCATGTCTTAGTAAGTTGGGGCAATGCGTTATCTTTATTAAGTGATTAAGTTTAAAGTCATTAAGTCAGTTTTTGGTTAAAAGAGAACAAAGAATGGAAACTCAGAAAGGAGGAAAAAAAAATGAACAGGCCACAAAGTGAGAAAATGAGAATGATGTCTTTCGACAGACATGTTTAAAGACCCCCTCCACTGTAAATCAAGTTTTTAAACTTGTTAGCATGTCCCTATGCTGTCTTTTACATGCTATAACACACATCATGAGTCTCAAAAAGGTGGATTCAGACAGCCAGGGTTTTATACTCCACAAACCTAAGGAACCAATTCTGTCCACTGGCAGGGTGAGGTTTTCCATATCACTAGCATAATAATAAGGTGGAATGAGGTGTATCAGAGTCAGGTGTGGCTAATTTCCCTTTTTTTTTCAACACCATGTTCTGTTTTTGGATGCAAAGTTATATGAGAAAATGTCAGCCTTCATATGCTACCAAAGGGTCCGAAAATCAGAGCAAAAAAGAGGGGGGTTTATTTGGAAAAACTGGACTGCCCCACACAAACTTCCACAGAAATTTTCCAGACTGTTTTGTAAATTTTACTCAAAAACAGATGGGGTTTGCCACTACACTTTTATGAATGCTAGACACTGTTTCATCCATTTATACTGGGAACACAGCGAGTGCGAGCCAACTGGTAAGTTTACTTTTCTTGTGTTTTATCTGCTGACTGTGTATAACAAATCTACAAAGCTGAACTCAGCTTCTTCTTTGTGACCTTTTTGTTTGAATTTTCAGATCTAAATTAGTGTTTTCTTTATGATTATGTTAATCCTGCTCTTGTGGGAACACTGCTTTTACAAAATATGACCTATGAATAACATTTGAGTGTCCAGTTAATGATTAATGTATTCTTCAATGGGCAGTCTTAATCTTGAATATGGAAACATTTCCCTTACCATTTGCAATGCTGATGAGGGTTGTCCGACAAACAATGCATTACCTAGCTACAGTCTCACTGTGTAAGAGTCAGAGAAACTTACCCAGCTAAATCTAACAATCAAGTGAAACCTAGTGAGAATAACAGAGCTATCGAGCTACGTCATCCGTTTGTCTGTCTGCTTGCTGTTTGTTCATTTGTTCGCTCATTTTGTATTTGAGTATAATGACCATATAAAATCTAGATAATGTGTTTAGTGAGCCACGGACAAAGCAGAATAGTCTACACCACCTGCACATGTAAAGTCCATTTAACTCAATACTTCTTGTTTACACTGTTAACTTGTGCTTCAGTGGTGTAGCAGGCTAGGACAGTTGCAGTTTTTTGTTGTTTCTCTCCATTCAAACCTTGCTGGATGTTTAATATAGCATTTAATTTTGGTATCATACAGATTTATTTCATATTTTACTCTGTGTTGCCTGGACTTTAAATCATTAGCTGCAGAATCATTATTCAACACACTTTCAAAACTGTATGGAGGTACTGTAGATCACTGTAGAAGGTTTCAACTACTTTCAACACTTTATGGCTTTGGCCTTTGCATTAAATTTTGACTTGTCGGTAATGTCTAAAACTTTTGTCCACAGGGCCACATAAAGAACTTCGTTCTTAGAAGAGCTGGGGCTAATGACCTTTTCACTTAATCAGAGGGAGCTTTTTCCTATGGTCCTGACTGATATAACACACCAGAGGGAAAACACTGGAAAAAAATCCCTAATGAGCTATGATCCAACAGAATGAGCAAAATTACTTAGATATACCAACAAAAAAATGCATCAAACAAGGAAGAAATGTGTCAAAAGAAGTTAAATGACTTATCTGTTACTTTACTAACTGCCTGAAGGTCTACAGTCCAGAGACTATTTAGCTCTGGAGGCTGGTGGAAGCTATTTTTACCCCTTACCTCAAATGTAATCATTTGGCACAGAATACAGCACATCACAGATGCTTGATCGGATTGAGATCTGGGGAATTTGGAGGCCAGGGCAACACACTGACCTCTTCATGGATATCTGGGAATACTATTGCCATGAAGGAGTGTACCTGGTCCGCAACAGTGTTTAAACAGGTGATAAAAGTGATGTTGACATTAATTCCAGAACCCAGTGAACATTGCCTAGAGAAAGACACTCCCTCCATCAGCTTGTCTTCTTACCGCAGTGCATCTAAAGCCATCATTTCCCCAGGTAAACAGTGCACATTTACCCAGCTATCCATGTGATGTGAAACAAAATGGGACTCAGCTGACCTTCTTACATTGCTCCAAGGTCTAGTTCTGACACTTGCGTGCGCAGGGTGTGATGCACTCTGTGTTGTGACACATTTCCTGTAACCAGCATTAAAAATTTCTGTGACTTGTGCCACAGAAGGCCTTTTGTCAGTTCAGACCAGATAGCCTTCATTGCCCTCAGGCACCGATGACCTTTGGGCACTCAACATCCTGTCACAGATGTGCAATCATCACTGCAGACTGGGAGTGCCCCACAACATGGTTTTTCCTGGCTTAAAATGAAGTGGAAGTGGAACTATCCTGATGATGTGCGCACACGTGCACCATGCCTTCAACTGGCTCAAGTAAACAGTTTTACAAGCAGCATAATATAGGAGTTCTAATAATCATATCACAAAGAAATTATTCTTAAAAATATCTATTTTCTATTAGTTTTTTTTTGTTTTGTTTTGTTTTGTGATAGAGCTTTTGTAAAGGTGCAACCTAGGATCATTACTAGAATAAAAACTTCCATTTTGCAGGAAAGTGACCTAAATCACACACTGACTAAACTAACTGCCAAATATATGTATTATACCAAGAATTTTTAACCAAATTACTGCTCTTTTTTCTCATCCATAATTGTTATGTACTTTTTTCCTGTCATTTATTCTTTTCATATCCCTCTAGTCTTCCATAAACTGCTATTATTGTTCCATAACCTTGCTATCCTCGCCTTCAGCTCGTGCCTGTGACCAAATCACAGCCATGATGTTATTTCGCAATAACACACGACCTCGAGTGTTCTATTGCTTAAGTAACGCAATACAACACTGAACAACCAGTAATTTCTCATTTAATCGCTAATACAGCAACTACTCATACTTCATCATTGCTGTGTCATATGTTAGCCTATAGTACATGTGCTGCATACCTGTAATGTTGCATCTCAAGAACTCAAAGTTGTTCCGGGTAGCGTTAGCATGGTGTCTCATGCAGAGATAACCTTTCTGGATGTGCTGTGCTGATTACAATACAGCACCACCACATGGCACAATGCCACAACCGCCATTACAAATGACAGAAATCCTCTGAGTGTAACGCTCGTTAGAAAATTGTGTTTTCCATGAAGACACCAGTCAGAGTTTTGTCGAGAGCTGGAGGCGGCATGAAATTTGATGGAGGTGGCTGCTTTGTAATTGAAAAAACCTTGCACAACCATTTGAGAGATGCTCTGACCAGGTCGCCTGGCCATAACAATCTGGCCCTTGCCAAAGTCAGTCAGGTCTTTGGACGGCCCATTTCTCCTGCATCCAACACATGTCGACTACAAGAGCCAACTGTTTGCTTACCATTAAGTCATTATGAAATAACTGACATAATTCACTTGATCTGAGATCTCATAATGTTTTGGCTCATTGCTGGGGTGGGCCATATGGCAAAAATATAATATCACAATACAAGAAGACATTTTTAGGATACACATGTATCAAATTATTTAGCTTTTTTTTCAGTTTAATACGTTTGAACAGAGAGTAATGTTTGTATTTAAAAAATTACTACAAAAACTATCATACATTGCACCACACTGAATCCAATTATACAGGCCTAATTAGGCTCTCTTTGTCATAAAACATGCAGCTGGTCACTGTTCTTTAATTACTGACAGTGTCCACAAGGTGCTTAGAAAAGCAGGTTGTGATGTAATTTATCACAATAACGACAGAATATCATCACAGTTCCAACCTCCAGTGCAGTGTTTAATTGTTAGCTATAAGCTTCCATTACATGTCAGCTACACTAGCCTTATTGCTCCAGAGCAAAACTATAGAAGCAAACATACAGAAAGCAGGTTAAATTAAACACAGCTGGCCTGCAGAGATGCTGAAAAAGAAAAGTAGTTGTGTTTACTGATATCTGAGTCTTACCTGCAGCCATCAGGTCCTGGCAGTGGATGTAGGAGGCTTTGTAGTCGTGACAGTGCAGAGCCTGCTCAGCCAACAAGGTTAGAACTTGGCCCTTCCGCCGGGCCTCATCATCACCTACACACACACAAAAGGCAAGGACACAAAGGAACAGCATCAGCAAGCTCGTCAGACAGCAATCACAGCGCCTGTTAACCACTAGCGCCGGACTGGACTGAAAAATCGATTCTCTTCAAAAGCTTTTCCCCAGCATAATGGACCGGTAAGTCAATATGCTGCAAACTAATAAACATATAAGATCAGAGGCAGCTGATAAGCTGTTTTCTCCCCCTTACAAATAGAAATGAAGTGAAATAAGGCACATGCATCTGCCCGAATCTAAATATTCCAAAAGAGCGCCTCAGAAATAGCCTGACGAGATATGCAGCTCCAAAATATTAATTTGTTTGGCAATAAAACAAAGTCCTCCGAGACATTTACTTTTTCCCTTGATAACGTCTTGGATGACTGCTGAGATGCTTAGCAGATCTCCCTCGCATGAACAGCAGCACTTTTTGAGCTGCTTTGATCTCCGTCCAAAGTAAGTAAATGAATTAATCAAGCAAGTACATGATCAAAACACTGATAAGGGCATTTTTCATACAAATGTGTATATAGCTGATCAAAGCGCAAACGGACGATGGGAAGAGATGATATTAACATAGGAGTTTGATAGCCACTCTGCAGCGTGATTTTTTTTTGCTACAGTTCAAAAGTTTTGAATCATAGCTCCTAACATCGGATTCACTGTTGTCTATATATATATATATATATATATATATATATATATATATATATATATAATATAAGCATTTGTGTTGCAGATAAAGGTATACAAAGATTCCAATAAAATGTTAGTATGATGCAACTGTACAAGTTTAAAGCAACTTTAAGAAAGCTTTGTAAAAAGAAGAAAATGTTAGATATATCCAGAATGAAGGACAGAGCTGTTTATGATTCCATACCATCTGAGAAAGCTGAGTAACACTGAGAATGAAGTCGATAAGATCAAAATCCGGAAGGCCTCATATTTGAAACATGGTGATGGAATGTAACGAATGAGGTGAGGCAGTCGGCATGTGCAAGAGATTTTTATGGAAGAGAAGCTTAGAGTCAGCAACCGCATAAAAAAAGGAAATGAGTAGGCATATACATTATTCAAACAAAGAAAAAAATACAGTCTTGAAATAACTTTATAGAGGCACAAAACCAATAACTGCTGTATACACTATATGGCCAAAAGTATGTGGACACCCATCCTTTTCATTGAGGTCAGGTTTTTCAGCCTCACCCACTGCTAACAGGTGCAAAATCCATAGACAAACACTGGCAGCAGAAAGGGTCAAACTGAAGAGCACAGCAATGCCACCTTTGCCGTAAGTCTTTTTATGTGACTTCTGCCCGTCTAGATCTGCCCCGGTCAAATGTAAGTGCCATTCCTGTGAAAATGAAGCATGAAGTACCGGTCTGATGTGCAAATCCAGGTTTTAGTGAATGCCAGAGAAGCACCACCTACCCAAATGCAAATTTGGTGGAGGAGGGATAATGTAATCTTGCAGTGTTTGGGCTCAGCCATTTGGTACCACTGATGGGAAATGTTAATGCTACTGCAACAGTTTGGTAAAAGTCTTTTGATGTTCTAGCATGACTGTGCTACTGTGATCAAAGTGAGGTCCACAAAGACATGGCTTGACAAGTAGAAGGAACTCCAGCGGCCTGCATAGAACCCTGACCTCAACCCCACTGAACACCTTTGTGATAAACTGGAATGCTGATTGCAAGCCAGGCCTTCACATCCAACATCAGTGGGACCAGTTCTTTGATTGAATGAGCACAAATTCCTACAGACACACTCCAAAATCATGTGGAAAGTCTTCCCAGAAGGGTGAAGCCTGTTATAGCTGCAAAGAGGGTTGTAACTCCATATCAATACCCACGGTTTTAAAATGGGATGTCCAACAAACTCATATAGGTGTGATGGTCAGGGTGTCCTCATACTTTTGGCCATATAGTGTAGTGGGAGATAATGAGTCCAGAGACGAGCTGCTGGTGCGATGAATCAAATAAATCGCAGTGACCGGTGATGAAATCTGGAGAAACCTGTATTTTTGTTTAGCTAAAAAATATAAGTAAGACAAGTAGTTTCAAACTTTTGAACAGCAGGCTACACTGCTTGAGTTGTTATGGATTTTGCACTGGTGTTCCAGATACATTCAGACCTCCTCCATAAAAACAACATTATATTTTATCAGTATATCCCAAAAGATCAGTCACTGGCCACTTCATTAGGCACACCTACCTTGTATCTACACTCACTGTCCACTTTATCTGCTCCAGTTACCATACAGGTACACGTGGTAGATCTACAATTGAAAATTTTCATACCAGAATGCTGCATATCTGTTTGCAACAACTGAGTTTTTAAAAAGATAGAATGGAATTTTAACAATTATTTCCTCCAAAAAAGGTGGTGGTATTAATCATATTATAGCACTGATATTTCTTGCATCTGTGAAGCCCACTCCCAAAAAAGAACGACATTGAAGTAAAGACTGCACCTAACTGTAGCACAACTGACAGGCAAAGTCGCACAAGTAAGGTTGGAAACAAAACCATTTACAGTTTTATTGATTTTTCAACATTTCTAACAGTGAGAGCTGTTATTCACTAATGGAGAAAACTTGGAACAGGAGTGGCCAGCCTACCAAAATTCCACCATCAATGACACATCCAGGAGGTCACAAAAGAATCCAGGGGTACATCTAAAGACGTACAGATCCCACTTGCCCTAGTTAAGGTCAACATACATGATTCCACAATAAGAAAGACACTGGGCAAAAATGGCATCTATGGGAGAGTTGCAAGGCGCAAACCACTGTTGACCAAAACGAACTCAAATTAAGGGTGATAAATTAGGTGATAAAAAGTGTACTTTTTAGCCTTAAGGTTTGGCCAGTTTGAAAAATGTCTTCAGATTTGTGCTCAGGCAAGCTCAGAGAACACAGAGGCCAAGATTTTTTCTCAGGCAGAAATGAAAGTCTTTAGTCTTGAGTCTGTGTGGAGTCGTGAGTTAGCATGCAACTCAAAAGCAACTCGCCGACTTCAGCTCCCATCTCTGGAAATGGCCATAAAAGTTCATTATCGCCGCACCTCCATTTATGTGTGTGTACATAAGTGTGAGCAGCATGAAACAGATCAGTGTTATTAAAAACCAAAATGCAGTGTCGGTTACAAACTTCTGCGTTAACTCTGATCTCTCTCCCCAAAGTCTATCTGCTCTGTCATCAGCTACATGTACCGTACCAGCATCATGCACAATTAAACATAAGGATTATGGGGGGGGATTCTGAAAACTACCAGGAGTACAATATTCAGTCTGGTAAACAAGGTGACATGAACTTCCTATGAACCCTAATCTCTCAATGAATGCCTTTTTATCTTGCACTCTCCTGCATACCATTCAGAAAGCACTGGCTCTAGCTATAACTATATAGTGCTTACATTTCTGAGTTATTGATTCAGCCATGCATATGCCAGTTCACATACTGCTCAATTTTTGATTCATGAAGCGCTGGCCTGGTTTGGATGGCACAGATTCACCACCAGCCTTCAAAGGGGGAGCTGTTTTCAAAAGAATGCGCTTTTTGGCTCGTCTCTGGCATTCCGACTCGTTCTTTTATTCACCTTTAGACAGGAACACTGCGTCGTAGACAAAGGCACTGTAAATTATGCATTCAGCATGGAGCTGACAGATTAGCACTGTTTAAGCAAACGAGAGAGGAGCTGTTCTCTCATGGGTGCTGAAACGTACACCATCAGGAGGATCGTGTGAGCTGCATCAGCAACAGTTCACATCGGGTCTCGTGTACCTGCCTGGAGTGTTGAGTTTGCCCGAGGATGTTTTGCTCTTCGAAGTTCGCGTAGTATTGCTTGTGACAGCTTCGCTATCGGAGTGGAATTAACTTTGAAAAGGGCGCGTGACGGCTTTCGAGACCGCTGCTGAAGGTCGCCAGTGGCGTGGATTAAGGTATTTTCACATGTCGATGCTATCAGTAATGGATAAAATGAACTGCTGATATAAATAACTGCATGAGTAATTCTGATGTTACCTGCCACCCGCAGTAGTCTGGCCAGCTCAAGCAGCAGAGTGGACTGTTTGTAGGCGGTGGGACACTGCAAGATGCACTCCTTTATCAGCGAGAGGCGGTCATCACGCAAACGCACTGGAAAGAGAAAGAAAAAGGAAGGGAGAAGAAAGGGTTTAGCTCTAATAACACAACAAGGTAAAGTATGGAAGTGAGCATTCTTTTTTTACTTTCAAACATATTCCACAATTAAGCCAATTTGCCAACAACCAACACATAATTACTGACAATTAGTTTAACTAAAAAGGTTTTTCCAAAATGTTTCACTGGTTTGCACTGACATATCCTTACTGTAGAGTATTACATGGAAAAAGCCTTAATGGGTCTTATGATAACAGAACCATTACACTGATCAGTTTTAACTGACTGCTTGCCTCTCGGCCAGTTACAATCATCTCCAAGTGCTGCTTCCTAGGTGAAGGGATAACTACAACAAAATTCTTTACAAACTTACAGCAAGAGCGGCAGTGGCAGCAAATTAGTCAGAATTTTTAGGCTATGAGAGAGAGGAAAAAAAATGACTGAGGAACCTTTAATTCATACGCATGTTATCTTGCTCATCTGGAATCTATTTTTATTTCATTCTCAAAGCTGAAAAAATCTGCATTAAACTACATGGATAAATATTTATTTACTTGTATGCACATAATCATTTGTTCTGTTTTATTGAAATTTGATAAAAGATCTTGTGCACTAGATGAGGTGTCCTCTTCAGCATCTAGCACTGCACCAGCCAGCTCCACTGCAGTATTTTTAACTTGAGTACAGTGTGTAGTGTTAGCTTGAGAACCAGCTCATCCGAAGGGGCTGCTTTTTTTATCTCCAGCCTAACCCTGGTTAGGCATGAAAACCTGCAGCTATAATGTCAAGTAGTTAATAGATTTCCAGGGGTTTGTAAATGTAAACATGGTTTCCAGGATGTTAAATGTCTAAACTGGCCTACATACATCAGTTCTCAAACACTGATGTCTGCACTGAACATTGTTATTATTAGTAGTAATTTGTTTTTGACAGAAATTGCAACTGTAACTAAGGGAAGCATTCAGTTACTTGCAAAATGCTTTAATAGATCAGCATCAGCTCCAAACTCTGATCGGCTGAGACATGTTCAAAGCTGTGATATACACAAATCGCATTCATGGGACCAGGCGTCAGCGAGTGTATGAAATAAATGGCCTGAAACTGAACTAAACAGCTTCAGTTTTCTTTAAAAGATGTGGCCTCTGCAAATGAGGTCACTTGAATGTTTTATAAGCTTCAAAGGTAGATCTCTGAGTAGAATTAAACCAAGTGTGGGAAAACAAATGTGTAGCACTGTTAGCCTGGTGCTCCACTAGCACCTCAGTGGGAGTTATTCCCACTGAGGTGCCAGTGGACATTATATTTTTGTAGTGATGGCAACCATTATGTAAAAGGTACTTATAAAGGCAAGTTTTTACATTAAAGACTGCTATATTAAGATATGCAAATACTGGCATTGCTTGAAAACAACAGCCTACACATTTCTTGGTGGAAGAATTGCTTATTGTGATCATTAATAAATGAAATAATTACCTGTGTATGTGCGTCTTTTCGCGTACTGTATGTCATCGCCATGTTACAAAAGCAATAAGCCACTCGAGGATGTGTTTTATAGTGATTTTATCACCAGTCAGGGGGCTTTAGGTCCTCTGTTTTCCTTATCTGTGATAAAATCATTGTAAAGCATGGCCTTGAGTGACTTACTTCTTTGATTTAACACACCTACGCACTCTGTAAGTCTTCTGGAGCATCAAAAACACAAATTACACACTTAGTCAAACCCCTTTGTTTTATGTTGTAATAACTTTCATGAAGTTGGTGTTGCTATTGCCCTTTAATGAAATGAAGTCAGCTCAACTTAAAACTAAAGGCAACATATCACACAGGTTTTTTTTGTTTTGTTTTGTTTTGTTTTGGGTTTTTTTTTTAGCACAAACGGAGGACACTAAAGTTCACCTAACTCAATCTCCTGCACTGAATCTCACTTAGGTAAACAATATATAATTAAACATTAAATAAATAATAATTTAACATAAACAATCTCATCAGAATCCTTGTTATGGATGGTTGTGTCACTGCTGGGGTTTGAACTCACAACCTCCGATACTGGGACGAACATCATGTTTTACAAACCCTATTTCTAGAGAAGTTGGCACCTACCCTAAAAACAAGAATCTGTGAATTTTAAGGTCGCTTAAACATTTATTTAACTGAGAATTAAATAAATAATACGACAAATTGCACCAAACATCATGAGATAACAGTCAAACAGTTCAAAAAGAAGGTTCTCAATTCTGCGAAGAATCTCAGTCCATGCAGGGCAAGATGGGAAACTACTGCTGAATGTGCGTGACCTTTGAGCCCTCAGACAGCACTGCATGAGAAACCGTCATACAACCATCACTGTGTTGAATATAGGCACATGGGCTCAGGAGTACTTTGGAAAACTGTTCTTACTTAACACAGCATAGGCGACTTGCACATGTGTAAGGTACCATTGATGTGAAGGCGTATTTTGGAATTTTAAAGGGACATGTGGCACCATCAAGACAAGTTTAACAGGACGTCCCTGCTTGTTTCAGCAATACAAGCATCAGAATGGCAGGCCTCATTCTGCACGTGCTACAACAGCGTGGCTTCATAGATACAGAGTGCATGTGCTTGACTGGCTTGCCTGCAGTCCAGATCTGTCTTCTATTGAAAATATGTGGCACATCATGAAAAGGAGAATCGGGCAACGACGACCACAGACTGTTGAGCAGCTGAAGACTTGTATCAAGCAAGAATAGGCAAAAATTATACTTGCAAAACTTCAATAATTATTATCTTCAGTTCCCAAACAATAAAAATGTGTAATTAAAAGGAAACATGATGTAACACAGTTGTAAACATGCCTCTTTCCCAGCTTTTGAGTGTGCTGCAAGTATTAAATCCTAAACTTGTTTCTATTTACAAAATCCAATTAAGTTGCTCAGTGAAAACACTGGAAAGTTTTTCTTTGTACTTTAGTCAGTGAAATAAAGGGTCAAGAGAATTAACGCAGACTTTTGAACGATAAAACTTTTCATATTGGGAAGAAAAATGCTTACATACAAAAAGCACAAATCAAACACGCGCTGGTCATATGTTACTTATGATACTGCGCCTGTGTTCATTTATAATGAAAGTTCTTAGTAGATAAGCCACTAAACTAGCCACCCCCACAGGTCTAAATTGTCAGCATACTGTCATTAATTAGCGCCTCTCTCAATAAATCTAGCCCTAAGCATTTCCAGTACCGAGGCAGATTGTGTTGGACTATCTACAAATGACATTTTAACCCAACGTTTTTCATTCTGATAATTCACATTTTATAGCTTTTTTTCCTGCCCTACAACAGCACGCTACAATAGTATCTAGCTATCCACCCATAAGACACATAGAGAAACAGATTGGTGTCAGGCCCAGTCCTCCCCCGATAGAGCATTGAGTGATGGTGGAGTGATGTGAGGTAATTGGACGACCGTGCAGGGCGTCTCTGATGCTCGACTGAGCTCTGTGTTGAAATATTGAACAGCTGGATCAGTATTGCCTCCAGGAGCCCTGCCAACCTGGGCCAGAGAGGATTAGCTCCTGCAGGGGACACAGCAAGGGCCACACCTGAGACTCACCAGCCCTGTCTAGCCATCATCTGCACCTGCCAAACACACTTACCCTAGTTCCAACTCCAGTGTGGACACTTCGAGAGTGCTCTACTAAAGACTGGAAGGTTTGGAATCACTGTTGTCAATAAATTAAAACTTCCTGCCTGCAACTTTCCAACACTGGAAAAAATGACATCTTTCGTGTGATAACTCTCTGTGATGTAGCTTCTGGGGGCATTAAAGTCTCCAGCCGTCTGGTTTCTATAACCTCCACTGTGAACAATTCTGACTTGGTAAGTCTCTCTACAACTGTGCATTTGAATTCAAACCACTCTGAATGACTTTCTTTATATCTTAAACATTTATTGATGTAGAATCAGTGGAATTCCCCTTTTAGTAATTTTAGTCTATAATCAAAGGCTAAATTTCTCTATATGATTCTATTAGAGATGCACTGAAATGGGCCAAAAGGGGCTGTTTTAATATTTTAAAGTATAGTACGTACATATTTGCTAATGTTGAGGCATAAACATTCAGTAAACATAGAAATTAGGACTGCGTCTACCTATATTAATATTTTAAAGTAATATAATATTTATGTAGGCTAACAAATGCAGTAAAGTTAATACAGTTCAGATATTTGAGTGCAGGAGCCCAGTAAAACCTAAACATTCTGCTTTTCCCAAGTGCAATAAATAAACCAAACACTGTTTCAAATATCAGTGTGTGTACACACTCACACTCACACACACACACACACACACACACATATATGTATCTCCAAAATGATAACTTCACAGGAAAAGGAAAAAACATACTTTACTTCTAATGTAAGTCAATGGAACCAGACTTTTTGGGTCACTTATTTTAGTCCATTCATCATGAAATTTACAAACAACGTAAAGGGTAATTTTCAAATTATGTCAAAAACTGAAAAATGTCAAAAATGGAGATACGAGGTTTTCTTCCGACAATAGCGACCACCATGAATGTGAGAAGAGCCTAAAAACAATTTTACTGGCTTTTTGAAGCATTTAGGAGTAAAATTTCAGTGGGGAAAACTTCTGGCCCATAGTTTTACAGATAAGAAAGATTCTTCTTTAAACTCTCTTTAAAGAAGAATCTTTAAAGCGTCTCTTTTTTGAATGTTCCAATGAAGTACAATCAATGGAGACTAATGGAGCAAAAAGTGCGAGAAAGAGAAAGAGAGAGAGAGAGAGAGAGAGAGAGAGAAAGAGAGAAAGAGAGAAAGAAAGAAAGAAAGAAAGAAAGAAAGAAAGAAAGAAAGAAAGAGAGAGAGAGAGAGAGAGAGAGAGAGAGAGAGAGAGAGAGAGAAATGTAGGGAAGAGTTTTGACAGATGAGCTGATATACAGCAGAGACATAGAGCGGGAGGGACCAAGCACCGAGAAAGAGAGAGAAAAAGAGAGGACTGAGATTTCCTGAGGACAGATTAATACATATCAGTAATCAAAGATGATGAGCCTTCCTAAATGCCAAACCTTTTAAGCATTTCAACAGGAACACAACCATCATTTCCTCAGATTTTCTCTGTGTTATTCACAAAATGGAAATGAGTCACCGCAGTTCGCCTGCACCCCAGAATAATAGCACAAAATCGACAACTTGGCAGTCACAGAGTTGCAGCCATTTCTCTTCAAAGCAGTAGAACACACAGAGAGAAGGCACGTGATACACACTTTGTTCAAAGAGACTAACATTAATACACATACAAAGTACACTGATATACCAGCCACTTGCCATACCAATTACCTACCACACTGAAAATTCCCTTCTCATACAGCAAAGAACTACGCTGTACTTGAGAAGTGGGTTCCTGGATAGCCTCTGAGTAATTTTAAATAATGATGGTTTTACTTTCCCTTGAGTACAATTTAAACAAAATGTTCCACTTCTTGCTCCATTACTTTACTCCAAACTTTATCAAAGTTTCATTGCACGCTCCCGTCGCTTCAGGGAACAGAGTTTTTTAGAACTCTTGCTAGTGATCCCTCCTTTAAACAGTCTGAATGAAATTACTTCTGTCTTGCCTTCACTGAGAAAAGCAATGTACATGAAGAACAGAAAACATTGTAGGTTATCTGAAAAGTACCTTGTAAAGGCAGAACTTTCACACCAAAGTGCTCCAGTCGAGAGAGGGCGCTGATGAGGTCCAGTTCTTCTTGGATTGGAGGAGGGCAATCAGTGATCAACTGTAGACATGACCTGAGAACACACAAACACACATGCACAGACAATGGAATAAAATCTGCAGCACCCAGTGGAACAAAATCTGCACAGGCTTGTGTACAGAAGTGGTTGTATAATAACCTATAGAATGGAGTACAAGGGTATATCTATAGAGCAGACAGAAACGTACCTAAACATGTGTTGCTTTATATACAACGGAGTTAACTGTTCTAAATCTGTTCTATTATGCAATAGAAGTCACTTGAAGCAAACTGACACTTACTCTTCTACAAGGCGGTCACAGGTATAAACTCTGCACAATGGAGGTCAAATGAACTAAATGTACATTGACATGTACAATGAGGTCACAAATTTAAATCTATGCAATGGAGGTCAATGGAACTGAATCTTAACTGTCCCATATACAATGCAAAGGAGGTCAACAGAACCACATTTGCATTGATCTTATGTACAATGAGGGTATAGACCCAAATCTATGCAAAAGAAGTCACAGATCTAAACCTACGCAAAGGATGCAATGGAAGGTCAATTGTACTAAATCAACGCTGGCTCACATACAAGGCCACAGATCCAAAACATATGCAACAGAGGAAAATGGAACCAAACCTGCACTGCCTCATGTGCAATGTAGGTAACAGACCTAAATCTACTGATCAGATGTCAGGGGAACCAAATCTTCATTGGTTCATGTACAAAGAAGGTCACATTTCTAAATCTATGCAATGGAGGTCATTTCAACTAAATCTGCACTGCGTCATACACAGAGGTCGCAGAACTAAATCTATCAAATTGAGGTCAGTGGGACTAAATCTGCTTCATCTAAAATTAGGGCACAGATGTAAATCTATGCAATGGAGTTCAATGAAAACAAATCTGAAGTGCCTCATGTACAAGGAGGTCACATTTCTAAATGTATACAACAGAGGTCAATGGAACCAAATCTGCTTTGCGTCATATACAAGGAGGTCACATCTAAATCTGTGCAACAGAGGTCAAGTGAAGTAAATCTATGTTGCCTCATGCACAGAGAGGTCACAGCACTAAATAAATAGAATGGAAGTCAGTTGCACAACATCAGAATCGCCATTTGTACAAGAGGGTCACAGCACTAAATCTATGAAAAGAAGGCCAATAGAACTATTTCTGACATTATCTAGGGGAGTGGCCTCCAACCCTGGTCCTGGATATCTACCTTCCTGAAGAGCCTAACTCTAACTACAGTCTGCCACACCAGCTAAATAACCTCTTCAGAAGTCCTTGATCGGTCGGATAAGATGCATTAGTGTCAAGTAAGGAGGGTGGCATGTTAGATGCAGTTTGGAACTAAACTCTGTAGGAAAGTAGATCTCCATTAGGAGGGTTGGTGACCACTGATCTAGGGCAAAGACATCAGTTGAAATACAGTTTTCTAATAGTAATAAGTTAATTTGTAAGGCAACTATACTTGTAGTATGGCCTATTCTGAAATATTCACTCATCCACAGAAGCTTCATCAGTCCAAACGTCCACTTCATTTTCATCATTCCACAAACGTGGCTACCTCAAAACAAGATGGCAACCAGACCCCTACAGCCTTTCCTATGCTGCTCTGAAGTCTTAAGTGAAGGAAGAGACAGGCACTTCCCTCTTCTTCTCTTGAGATAAACACCTTGTGACACTAAGGCAGCCTGATAGACAGACAGACACAACATTTCACTTGAGACATCCAAGGAGACCAGAGAGGCGAGAAAAACAAAGCCACAAAAGCAACACATGAGCCTCTTCGGAACAGTTTCCAACAGAGCTGTCAGATTTTACGTAATCGCCAAGAGGACATCTTTTCACTCATGCTTTTCGTCCAAGATTTACCGCAGTCCATTACAGACACAGGCACTCTGGAGAAACAAAGCCAGTTGAAAATAGCCTCCAAACAGATTAAAGAGCTTACTAAACCATCTCAGTATTTACAACAAAGCCTGTTTTATTACACAGCAGTAATAAGGGGCTCAAGGATTCCAGTAAAACAAGCACCACACAAATGCACAAACTATTACCAGCCCTCATATGCAGAGGTGGGCCTTTTTTATTCGACTATATCTCATCTGAAAAGTTATTTTCCCATTTGTCCTTGGAAATATGTGCAGTGGTGCTTCAGAATAAAATAGTTTAACTGATAATTAGTGACCCATAACCTTACCACAGGTTTCCAGTTGTGAGGTCAGTTGAGACCTGCTTTATTTTCTATTTGATGTAATGCATTATTTATTAACCATATTTCAGAAACCTGTCAAATGGTCAGTGTATTTCAACACTTCAGATTATTATATTAATTAACATTATTATATGAAAACATTTTCATTGTATTCCTGGGTAAGGTGTAAACTGGACCTGCCTAACCAAAGAGCTGAAAAAAAAATTCAAAATCTTCCCATGAGGCTGTCAGGTCATTTTGTCCCCAATATATTTTGAGCTAGGAATACAACCTCAAATGCACATTTGGCACTAAAATTCACAACAAAGTGTTTTTGAAGATACTGCGGAGGTACTCGAGAGATTTTAATGCATCGTGTTGAATGCTAGACATGGAAATCGAGACAGCAGGTGAGGAAGAAGGCCTGAAGGGTGGTTGGAATGGATTCTCACCAAAAACTCAACAAAAATGTGTAAAAACATCTCAAGAGCTGTTGAAAGGTCTCTGTGACCCAGACGGAACAGAGTGTCAAAGGAAGTGCGAGCTCTATTCATACAGCAACGAGTGAGCCAATAGCTCCATGTACAAGCACACACGCACTTCAAAAGTATCCGTGAGACAGCAAACTTAAATATCTTACTGTAATCATGTTGCAGTATTTCAGGGCTATAATGATGATTTATGGGTTATGTTGCAGTATTTTAGTGCTTTAATGATTATTTTGGGGGTCATGTTGCAGTATTCTGGGCTGTAATGATGATTTATGGGTTATGTTGCAGTATTTTAGTGCTTTAATGATTATTTTAGGGGTCATGTTGCAGTATTTCTGGGCTATAATGATGATTTATGGGTTATGTTGCAGTATTTTTGTGCTTTAATGATTATTTTGGGGGTCACATTGCAGTATTTCTGTGGTATAATGATTTATGGGTTTTGTTGCAGTATTTTAGTGCTGTAATAATTATTTTGGGGGTCACATTGGAGTATTTCAGGGCTATAATGATGATTTATGGGTTACGTTACAATATGTCAAGATCACAATTTTTTTGAGGGTCATGCTGTATTATTTCAGTGCTATAATGATGATTTGAGTGTCGTACCGCAGTACATCAGGGGTATAATGATGATCTGAGGGTCGTGTTGCAGTATTTCAGTGGTATAATGATTATCTTGAGTGTCACACTGCAGTAAATCAGTGGTACAGTGATAATCTGAGGGTCATGTTGCAGTATATCACTGGTACAATGATGATTTGAGGGCCATGTTGCAGTATATCAGGGGTGTAATGATCTGAGGGTCATGTTGCAGTATTTTTATTTTTAGTAGTAGGTTTTGAAAAATTCTGCACATTTTGCAGGGATGTCAATAATTTGTGCATTCTGATTTATTGTGTTATTTGAGACTTAAAGTGGAAGGTATTGACTCGATATTTTTGTACTTCTACTCAAGTTGCTTTTTGAAAAGGTACGTCTACTTTTACTTGAGTCAATATTTTACCCAAGTATTAATACTTGAGTATTGGTTTAGGCTATTCTACCCACCTCAGTTACTTACTCACAAATATGAGCAACAGTTTTACATCTTACAGTTCTGTTAAAACATAAAACTGGTGTTCTCCTGAATTGTTAGCTTGTATATTTTCTTTATATTCCAATAATGAAATGTTACAAATACTCAAACAGTGATTTCAATATTAGAATATTGCATATTGAGTACCCATGCACATCTCTGCTATCTAAATAAGGCTATGATCTGCACCTCTTTCTACTTTAAAATTTAGCCCCAAATCACTGAAGAACAGTGGCACTATAAAGAAAAACCTGGCTAATTATATTACAAAGATGGATGCCATCCCCTGTGATCCATTTGAGGATGACGCAAAGTTAACAAGAGGGCTGTAATTTGTTCTTTGATACACAAAAGGCTACCTTTCTCCCCTCATACATATACACCCACTGCATGTTATCTGGGGGTCTATACAGGGTCTAAACTAACAGAAGAAAGGTTTTGCAAGAAGAATATTAATACATTATGCTAGAATTTGACTTCCAAGCAAAAAAACTAGGTCAAAGTACGTCAAAGCACACCAAATTGAAATTGCCCAAACCTATAGATAATTGCTAGGTTTTTCACTTCTTGATTTTCAAACATCAAGAAAAACAACAACAGAACAGAAGTTCAGAATATACAGCTTAAAGAAAGCCATTAAACAGAATATATTAAAGCGTTTCGCTCTAAACACATTTAAAAAGCCCCAAACCAGCCCCCAAGATGTTTCTTAAAACAGAAACACACTCGTTTGAGCAGGGAAGGCGTGTGTGTCACTTTGTGCCTCTCAAGTCGCTCCCTCATTGTTCACATCTTCTATTCACCCTTTCAATCAGTCCCTCCATTTCCCTCCCTCTCTCACATTCACAGATTGACAGCCCTAATTATTTTCACATTAACCTGAAAATTTCTGTTTCCTTTCAACTAGTCCATTAAAGCTGCCGCTCTGTAGTTATTCTGTCCTTCACAGCACTGACATCGTGTTTGTGTGTGTGCGTGTTTGTGTGTGTGCGTGTTTGTGTGTGTGCGTGTTTGTGTGTGTGTGCGTCTGTGTGTGGGACACAGAGGCTGACAGAGATGCTGGATGGGTGTGATGGAGTATGGGAGAGAGGCCAGTTTGGTTTGGCCATCAGTGAACAGATGACGGCCTAATTACTGACCCACTTTACATCCTACCCACTGCCGTCCCACCCAAAACTACCCCAGCAACAGCAACAAAAATACAGAGAGAGAGAGAGAGAGAGAGAGAGAGAGAGAGAGAGAGAGAGAGAGAGAGAAAGAAAGAAAGAAAGAAAGAAAGAAAGAAAGAAAGAAAAGACAGATTACAGAAAAGACAGATTAAAAGAGCTACAAAAAGACAAAGAAAAAGGAGGGAAAGAAAGAGAGAAAAGAAAAAGAAAGACTGAAAGAGAGGCAGAAAGACAAAGAAAAAAGAAAGTGGAAGAAAAAGAGACAGAAAAGAAAGAGGAACAGAAAAAAGAAGCAAAAGAGAGATACAAAGATACAGAAAAAGGGAAAAGAAAGAAAGAAAGAAAGAAAGAAAGAAAGAAAGAAAGAAAGATGGAGGGAGTGAGAGAGTGAGCAACGGAGAGGAAAAACTAACAGAAAACAAAGAGAGAAAACGGAGTGAGTGAGTGAGTGAGTGAGTGAGAAAAAGCATGTAGGGCTTTCTACACCATAAGATGACATTTTTTGCAGAAATTCCAAAATTTACCTAAAAATATTTGAGTCAGAAATTAAAACAACTGCCCCTCACAGCAGTGAAGTGCAGGGTCTGCTTACAAGTCAACACTTTCACAAATGGGACAAACATTCAACTGAGACTCATGTAGAATTTTGTAAAAATATTTTGAAACTACTCAGAAATACCACCAACAACACACGCAGAGCAGGATTAGGCCAGTACACATTCATTATAAGGTACAAAAAAGGTGTCAAAGCACCTAAAAAACAGTGACCTTCCCTCTATCATTATACAGCTCTGCACATATCATTATACAGTTTAGCAAAGACAACAGCTCCCTCACTCAGCTGGTCCTGAACTACACACTAACACTCACTCACACACACTAACACATGCAGTGTCACTCAACAGGACCAATCTGATCAGAATCAACCAAATTACAGAACATCTGAGAGAAACATACACAGCCTACACACACAGGTGGATTGTCTGGCCGTAAAAAGCCAGGACGCTGCAGCAGAGTACCTGAGCACAGTGACTGATCTGAAACTGAGGACCACCCTGACGAGGTACAGACTTAGTCAGCACAGTCTGACTGTAGAGACCGGCAGGCACAGGAGATCCTGACTGACTCAGGAAAAAAGAACATGCCAGCAGTGTGAACTGAATAACAAAGAGACAGAGCTGCACTTCCTGAGATCAGTCAAGAATTATTTACAATAACCAATAACAGACATCGCCGCATTTAACAGCCTCTACAGAGAAACCACCCAGAGAGAGCTGCACACTCACAGCTCGATACACCCCAACCTGACACCACAGGAAAGAGAGAGACGCACAGAGAAAAAGAGAAAAAGAAAGACACAAAGGAGAGAGCAATAGAGAGAAAAAAACAGTGAGAGAAAAAGAAATGAAAAGAGTGAGAAAAGACAGAGAAAAGGTAATAAAGAGGGAGAAGAAAGAGTGTGTGAAAGAGAGAGTGAGAGTGAGAGAGCAGAAAATAAAGAAAGAAAGAAAGAAAGAAAGAAAGAAAGAAAGAGGGGGAGACAGAAAGAAAAAAGGAAATAGAAAGAGTGAGAGACAGAAAGAAAGAAAAAGAGACAAAAAGACAAAAAAAGGAGACAAAAGAAGAAAGAAAGAAAGAAAGAAAGAAAGAAAGAAAGAAAAAGAAAGATGGGAAGCAAAAGAAAGAGAGTCACAAAGAGAAAAAAGGGAAAAAGAAAGACACAAAGGAAAAAAGAAGGGGAAGGGACAAAGAGCAATAGAGAGAAAAACATTGGGAGAAAAAGGAAAAAGTGAGAAAAGACAGAGAGGAAGGTAATAAAGAAAGAGAAGAGAGAGTGAGGGAGACTGAGAGAAAGTGAGAGAGAGTGAGCAGAAAATAAAAAGAGAAAGAATGAAAGAAAGAAAAGTAAAGAAAGAAAGAAAAAAGAAAGAAAGAAAGAAAGAAAGAAGAGAAAGAAAGAAAGAAAGAAAGAAAAAGGGAGAGAGAAAAAAAATAGAAAGGAAGAGTGAGAGACAGAAAGAAAGAAAGAGAAACAAAAAGACAAAAGAAGATGAATGAGTTTAAGAAAGAAAGATGGGAAGTAAAAGAAAGAAAGTCACAAAGAGAAAAGGGGAAAAAAGAAATACGAGGGAAAAAGAAAAGGGAGGGACAAAGAGCAATCAAGAGAAAAAACAGAGAAAAAGAAAAGAAAAAGTGAGAAAAGATAGAGACAAAGGTAATGAGAGAGAGAGAGAAACAGAGAGGGAGGGAGACTGAGAGAAAGTGAAAGAGAGAGAGAGAGAGAGAGAGAGAGTGAGAGAGAGAGAGAGAGAGAGAGAGAGAGAGAAGTGACCATGAGAGAGAAGAAGTGACAGAGTGAGAGTGAGAGTGAGAGTGAGAGTGAGAGTGAGAGAGAGAGAGGGAGAGAGAGAGAGAGGGAGGGAAAGAAAGAAGAGAGAGAGAGAGAGAGAGAGAGAGAGAGAATCCTGAGTCTGATGAAAGCAGGTAATTACAGTGATAACAATGGCGAACACTCAGGGCTGAGCTCTAAAGGCAGGAGGGTGAGACACTTCCAGCAGCGTTTCTTTGTGTTTCATCATTCACACTAATGCAAATGTGCCCACTTTTTGGTCCATTTTCACTTAGAAGTGTTGTAAATCGATAACAGCAGGCACCTCGCAATCACCTCAAACTCAGTCATACAAAGAGAAGTATTCAACAACACCAGATCAGGTGAAAAGAGGTTAGCTCCTCCATAAGTATTGGGACACAAGTAATGTTTCTCACATGATACAGATTCAAGAAAAAAATTTAATTTACAAATTTTCCCTTTACTACCCCAAATGTATGTCTGCCAAAACAGAACAGTGTGTCCAAACAGTAGTGTCAGAAATCAATAAGCAGGTCTATTTGAGGTTACTTAACAAATATATAGTGTAACTCTGGGGTCGCAACTCAAATGTTAAGAAGAGCCATCAACAAAAAATCAAACCACCTTGGGAACCACAATGTTTTGTGTTCATTTTACTGTCTTGGCTGTAAATATGTCTCAGTATGCGTTAGTATAGGCTAAAAATATAATAAGAATGAAAATACAAAAGTATATAAGTTTCTTGTAAAAATGTCTCTTAACATTCGACTTTTTACAAGGCTGTTTGACAGTTTCTCGTTGCAGATTAAACATATCAGAAATCCAGCTGGAGTGCTTACAAATACAAATAAGTCCTTTTGTCTCTGAATTATTGATGCCAATCTTCAGAGTTAGGCAGATATAGGCTACATTAACTCCGGCGTTTAAGACCACATATTGTTAAGACTGTGTTAGAACGATCAACAGAGCTTTAATTTACTGCAAAGGAGGATTATTTTATTATTACCTACAAATCTGATTCTGCTGTGGAGCCGCAACAGGGCAGTAAAAGAGCCGCGTGCAGCTCTGGATTATTTAGGCATTCAATTTGTACAATGCTAACTGGTGTGCATGTGTTTACATCATTTGTTAGCTACATGAGCCTTGCAGTTCGAGTGCAACTAAAGAAGCAAGAAGCATACCGTGCCAGGTTGATGCAGGGGTCCGTGAGCGTGGCTGAGGAGTTGAAGTATTCACGGGCGGAGGCCAGCACCAATTCCACACTGCGGGTGTACGCCACACGAGGCGTGGCTTTACCCCTGAACACAGCGCTGACCGGGACGTCCTGAGACGCGGCGCTCCGCTGCGTCAGCTGACCTGCCAACTTCACATTCTCCTCACGACCAGAACACAGCAGACTCTCCACATAAACCTACAGAGAGAGAGACAGAGAGAGAGAGAGAGAGAGAGAGAGAGAGAGAGAGAGAGGGGGAGAGAGAGACTGTTGGAACACTGCTGTGAGGACTTGACTGCATTCAGACACAAGAGCATCAGTGAGGTCAAGTACATTGGATGTTCTAAATCACTCCAACTCATCCCAAAGGCTGAGAATGCAGCTCCACTGCTCCACAGCTCGACGTTGGGGTGCTTTATACCTCTCTAGCAGATGTCTAGCACTGGATATGGTGACCATAGGCTCATGTGCGGCCACTCCAGAGCATCCTATTCTATTAGCAATGCTTTCTGTGGAGATTATTCAAGCTGTTTAAGTGCTATTGAACACTAGTGTCAGCAGTAGGTGCACCTTAAAGTGGCTGAATTTACTAATTGGAAGTGGTCTCTGGATACTTTTAGACATGTGGTTTATGAAGAAGAGTGCGTGTGTGGGCATGACAAGATAAAATAAAACTGAAATGCAGAAAACTGTGTTGGGATTACAGCTTTCCTATTTGTCATTATTATAATAGATGTCTGGGCAATATCTTGAAATTATTAGAAATTCTGAAACAGTGGTTTTAGGCTATAAATAATGTAATACTGAGTAACTCAATATCTTTTGGTAATAAACTAGTTCACCTCTTCTTTTGAAAGTTGTGACTGCAAACATGCACTTGTGAGATCCTGCTGGTGTGGGTTCATGGCTGTTTGCTCAGTTTAAATGACTGAAATGTGAACTGTGCACTAATTGTATCCCATGCTGGGGACATTTCCGACTGCTACACATGAGTGTGCGAATTCCAAAGCCACGTTCCCATGCCCATAGATAATTAAAAAAGAAAAATAGCACAGGCTTAAACTGCGATAACGGCAGACAAAACATATAATCCACAGCCAAACTATTAACCCCTTAACATTCCAGGTTTATTTTATACAAGCGCTTATTATTCAGTAACTACAAAGCAAACTTATGGAGCTATTCTTAGGTTACAGAAGTGCGTAATAACACTTCGGGCCTGCCCATGGCTTGTTAAGGGGTTAAAGCTTTATTCCAATACATTCAGCTGGGCGGCCCGCACTCCTGCATCACCACGGGCAACAAAAAAGGCAACAGCTGAACCTGCCACCTAGCCTAAAGCACGATCAACCGCCAGAGCCTTCATCTAATCACCCAACATACCACAACATGTTAATTATCCCGCCAGAGACAAACAGAGAGAAAGTGAAGGAATATTTTATTAATCACAGACTTCAGTATTTCATTTCAGCCCACATAAAGCAGGGAAATATCATCTGCGAGCGCTTTCATCTATCCACATTACAGAAGGCAATATCTGCAGCATGCGCTGCACCTAATACCATAATGCTGTTAACTCCCATTACGCTGCAAATGAAATATCAACTCCTACTCTATCTGCAAGCCAATGAGCTGCATCTAATACAGAACTCACGAGGGGAGGACGGAGGGTGTTTGGTTACTGAAGTTTGGACAAGTTCATTAGCAGTTCTGCGATGAGCCGTGTGCTGGACCACTGTCCATCAAACAGGCAAAAAGTAAACAGCTCCTCTCTTCACACCATTTAATCCATTTTTGCTAATGAAATCTGCGTTTTTAACCCTTTTATCTTTATGTTTATAATTTGGTTATTAATCTAAAGATTTATGCAGCAACTACTATGAATTATGCAGTAACAACAACAAAACTAATATGTAAGTTATACATTTAGAGAGTGAGGAAAGTAAGTGTGGGCCCACATGCAGGGGGATTAAAGGGATTAAACGAAAAGTATTCAGATATCCCAAAAAGAAAATATCCAATGCTGTTACAAACAAAAAAATTTGCCCCCTCTTCTATTTTTGCACATTTGTCACACTTTTGTGTCAGATCTTCAAACAAAATTTAACATTAGCCAAAGGCAACCTGAGAAAACACATACAAAATACAGTTATCAAACGATCTGAAGCACAAGAACAAGAGCTGGTCCACCTCTGAATGGTGGTGTGGCCTGGTCAAACTACTGATATGAACCCCACTGAGATGCTGTGCTACCTGGCATTTCAATCTTGAAAGTCTTCCAGTGTGGCTGAATTAAAGCAATTTTGCAAGACACAGTCAGCCAAATTCCTCCACAGCAATGTGAAAGACTGATCTCCAGTTATAGGAAGCATTTGGTTGCAGTTGTTGGTGCTAAAGGTGGCACTACCAGTTTTTACACTTTGTATGAGGATCTGAAACCATTCACAGTGACAAATGTGCAAAAATGCAGGAAATCAGATATTTTTTTCAGCAAATACTTTTTCACGGCACTGTAGTCACACGGAATACAATCTAAACTAATTGAGTTATTCTTAAGTTGTAGAAGTGTGTAATAAAAGCAAGTATTTATTGCATACAGCTCGTATAAAGCCTCAGTTGCACTAGATATTTGCAGTTAGCATCTGGTTGTAAAGTCAGTCTGCCCAAGGCAATTAGAAAACATGATGCTGATTTAGCTTGGCTAAGCATTTCAGCTGTGGCTGACTATTCTGTGGTGAGGACACCAAGTTGGTTGCTAGCAAGCTAGCTAAACTCAACGACCAACAGTAAATGCACAAAATAAAGATGTTATTCCACCTAATCCATCTCCCAGCTAACTGCAGACCACATTACCTTTCTGTTATGTACTGATTTGGGAAAAATTATATAAAATGTCATGCCTACACACTGCTAAAATTCCTGCATTTTGGATCTTCACATGTAATGCCACTTGTCGGACTGCCTCATGTTGCCCTATGATCTTTGTATCAAAAATAAATAAATAAATAAATAAAAAACATGTTGGGAAAGTAAAAGGAGATGGAAACTTTCACCTCCTCATTCCGAAACTTTGCTCACATGTTTGAGCAGCTTTTGGAGATGCTATCACCACACGTGACGAAGCAGAAGACAAACTAATCTTTTAGATGTTTGTCAAAAAGGTGCTATGGCCTACCCCAACGGGCAGACACACAGACAAATACATCCACACACATATTCACCCATGGGGCAATTTAGCATCTCCAATTGGCCTGACTGCATGTCTTTGGACTGTGGGAGGACCTGCAGGACGGGGAGAACATGCAAACTCCACACAGAAAGGACCCTGGTCACCTGGCTGGGGACCCAGACCCTTCTTGCTGTGAGGCGACAGCGCTACCCACTTCACCAACATGCCATGCCAGCTAGCTCTTTATGAAGTGAGCAGCACTCCTGCTGATCACTTGGCACTAGCAGATTTATCTCTGAAAATCATGTGAACTTGTGAATGAGTGGGAGGAGGCATGTATTTATATATGTGTTTGTGTGTGTGTGTGTGTGTGTGTGCGCACTCTCTCTCGCTCTCTCCTAATCTCTCTCAATCTCTCTCTCTCTCCTGAATCAGAAGAGCTTGATGAATCAGAGGTTAAAAGTTACAAGACATGACAAAATGTATTCCACTACATGTGTTTCATCCAATTACCCAAAAAAGTACACCAAAACTTATTTTTCTATATTTGAGTAAATGCGCCCAATAAGAAACAACATTATGGGAGATCAACAGGGTCCACACTGCAATCAGAAGACAACAGAAACAGAGAATACTTCATTAACTACATTCTTCCAAGTTTAACTTCGAGTAAGAGCTTTCCCATCACTTTTTTCCCAAATTGCAGTCAGAGGTTGAGTGTTGAGGGTGACCTCCGCTTGTCTTTCACTGCTCCGGCCTTGATTGCGATGATGAGGAAATCGATGGAGGCAGCCAAAAGTAGGCTCGTTATAGAATGCTGCTTAATTACAGACAATTGGTGCACAAAAACCCTCACTTCACACTCCAGAGAGAGAGGCTCTCTTGCTTTTACACACACACAAACCCCTTCGCAGTACAAGAAAGGAATGTAATGAGGGCTAGCAAGAACAGCAGCAAGGGTCAAGATTGTTAGCGAATTCAATGAGTAAGAATTCCAGCATGTTGTGTAATAGATTTGTAATAAAGGTGTTATACACATGTAACAGCAGTGTAATACCTCATGGCAGGTTGCAGGTTCCAGACAAGTGTAGACGTTCTTCTGCATGTCTAGTAGATCCTGCAGCAAGTCTTCCCACACACTCTCGCTGACCGGAGGGATTCTGGACACAGCAGTGAGCACCAATCAGAAATCTGCTCATAGCTGACGGTGGGTTGCGATAAAGGGACATTAACATGTCGACCCCTTAAACTCTAAGGCTGGCTTTACTCGCTTGAAACTTACATGAAGAAATCTTTTTAAAAATGAGTGATTTCATCATATCAAAGGACAAGAACATAAAACAGAGGACAGTCAAAAATGAGTTCCTTCTGATTCAATGTGAAAAAAGAAAAGTAATGACAGCTAGAAAAATTACAGACGAAAAATGCAGAAAATTCGCAAATGTAAATAACACGCTGCAGATGACTTTACATAGTGAGAATTATATACTGTATTGAAAAAATATGAGCTGCAAATTTGGCTGAATAGTGGAGTAGTTAAATATGTTGCAACTTTGTTTTTGAATTGCTTCGTGCAACTTTCAAGTTGAAATTAAGGTAACTAGTTCACCAGTTTCACCATGTAAACTTAGAGTCTGTGGACTCTTTCAGGAACAATTTTAGCAGGTATTAATAAGTTAGACATTAAAAATTGGGGCAAATATGCAACATTTATGATGCAATGTTAATTTTAATTGTGTACATATTAGGGATGCAAATTGTGGCAAATTCTTTTTGAATAATAACTGGTTATTATTAGTTGCCAAATAATCGTTAACCAGCAAGCCTAAAATCGACATCCAATTCATTAAAATATCAATTATAAAATGAATAGATTCAGTTCTGAAATCTGATTGACTGAGCCCATTTCACAGTCATTATAAAACACTTCATCTACGCACACTTATGAGTGCACATATCACCTGAGACTGTACATCTGAAGCATTAAAACAGACATGCAAGTAGCTTATGATTTACACTATATGGCCAAAAGTATGCAGAGACCTGACCATCGCTCCTATCTGAGCCTGCTGGACATCCCATTCTAAAACAATGGGGATTAATATGGAGTTGCCCACCCCCTTTGTGGCTATAACAGCCTCCACACTTCTGCGAAGGCTTTCCACAAGATTTTGGAGAGTGTCTGTGGGAATTTGTGCCCATTCTGTCAAAAGGGCATTTGTGAGGTCAGGCACTGATGTTGAAAAAGATTGCCTGGCTCACAATTAACGTTTCAATTCATCCCACAAATGTTCAGTGGGGTTGAGGTCAGGAGTTCCTCCAAACCCAACTCATCAAACCATTATCTTTATGGACCTCACTTTGTGTACAGGGGCACAGTCATGCTGGAACATAACTAATGCCACAAAGTTTGAAGCATATAATTGTCTAAAATGTCTTTGTATGATCTTTGCCCTTTGTCCTTCACTGGAACTAAGGGGATTTAAACATTTTAAATCACTGAACTGTTCAGTGTGACCCATTGTACTTCCAGTGCTTGTCTATGAAGATTGCATGGCTACGTGCTTGATTATATACACCTGTTAGAAATGGGTGTGGCTGAAACACCTGAACTCAATAATTAGCATGGGTGTCCACATACTTATTGTGTTCTCTGTAAGCTGCAACTCCAGCCTAATTCTAAATATTTTTGGAGTAGTCTGTTAGATTTTAATAAAGTAATTGTAATAGTCATCATATAAAGGGGACGTCTTGCCTTAATGATTTGACAGTGTTCATTTCTAAACCTGTTGTTTTTCCAAATCTTTTGCCCCACAGGAGGAGAGTGTTTGATGTTCATTCTGTGTGGCAGGTTGACATGTGCATGCAAAGTAAACACCTAAGCTAAACAAGGAAAAAGGGTCTACAAGTTGAAGAAACTGTATACTAAAATTTGTGTAAGGTAAAGTACAGTTGGTGTATCTTACTTGCGTCCAATGTGGCGAGTGAGTTTGACCATCAGCTGGTGAGCCTCCTCCTTACTGCTCTGACTGCTCCTGACAAATGCAACGGGCTTCTGCAGGCCATGCTTCTCCAACACCTCCACAACACTGCCCCAGAATCAGAAGGAAAGGAAGGAATAAAATCAATGAATCATCCATGAATCGAAGAGTTAAACAACAAATACATGACTGAATCTTTTGCATACACACTCTGTGTAAAGTTGTAATGGCATCTAACTATCATCAGTCATCACAGTCCACTGAACAAATTCAGCATATTGCCACTGTTGTAATGAAACCTTATATTGTAGAAAGCTACACTCTCACAGCGAGAGGAAAGGTAAAAACATCACAGTTGAACAATGTAATTGGCAAAAAGCTCACTCCAGCCAAACAATCGTGACTGGTGCATGCAGCTCAAGCCCTATCCGAAACATCATGTGTTTGGTGAGAGTGTGGTTTCTGTGTGTGGGAGCAGACACACTGTTCTGTAGTAGTTTGAATGCGTTCAGGATGTGAGTGCCTACAGTGGAGCTTCAGGGGCCAACTGTGCAGACAAGCTTCCAGAAAGCAGTAAATTATTTGTGAAATCATTTGACTTTTAATAAATATGTTCTACATAATTTCTGGCCATTTTCTTTTCTATTCTTGCCATTTTAAAGTACAGACAGCTGCAGTTCGCTACTTCCAAAGATTCCACTGCCCTGCTTGGGCTATTTATTTATTTATTTTTTAATAATAATTACATTTCTATTGGTCCATTCTTCACGAAATGCTCACACAATGTAAAATAACTGGTAAGCAGTAATTTACTGGGTTTAACTGGGACTAAGTGGAACATTCAGTGTAAATGACTGTTCCACAAGGAACACACTGCACAGATGTTTTCTGCTCACACACACACACACACACACACACACACACACACACACACACACACACACACACACACACACACAATGTCTTCATGTGGAGACTTTATTGCACTAAAACCTGTGCAGGAAAAAAGAACGTTTGGTCCGATTCACAGGGACAAACGTGCGAGAGAGAGAGACATAGATAGAGACATAGTTCGAGAGAGAGAGAGAGAGAGAGAGAGAGAGAGAGAGAGAGAGAGAGAGAGAGAGAGAGAGAGAGGTATTGAGAGTTAAAGTTAGAAGGTGTGATCACAAAGGCAGGAAAGAAAAGAGCAAGTGAGAGACTGAACATGTCCATGTGGATCACAGGTATAAAAGCGAGAGAGAGAGAGAGAGAGAGAGAGAGAACTGGAGAGAGAAAAAAAGGGAGATTGCGAGGGGAAAAAGTAAGAAAGACACTCTTACAATCCTATAGATTGAAAGAGTTGGAGGGAAGGAGAGAAAAAGAGAAAGAGAATGGAAAGAAAAGAGACAGAGAGAAATAGTGAGAGAGAGAGTGAGAAGGATAGAGCGGAAGAGAGAGAAAAAGACAAAAAAGGGGAGAGAGAAAGGGTGCAACAAAGAGGGAACTAGATAAAGGAATAAAGAAGTGAAAGATAAAGGGAGAGAGACAGAGAGTTAAAGAGAGAAAAAGAAAGAAAGGAAAGGGAGGGAAAGAGTGAGAATTAGAGAAAAAGAAAGAAAGAAGAAGGGAAAAATAGAGTCTTGCATCATCTCTTTTCTTCAGACAGGAATTTTAATCGAACCAAAATAGTGTGTTTCTGTCAGGAGAGCAGTTCCACACTGTTTACATCACACACACACATAGTAAAGCTCCTCCAGCAGACAATTTTGCCTTCAAGCATCATGTTAATTATTAGTGGTGTGATCTGAAGTCCCAAAACTGCTCTTAGGAGTGGAATTAAAGAGAGAGAGAGAGAGAGAGAGAGAGAGAGAGAGAGAGAGAGAGAGACGTCTGAGGACTCTGCTGTTTTAAAACACAATGGAAAACAACAGATGGAAGAGAGATATAAAGTGTATACAACACTCAGCCGTACTGTTTGCCACAACCTTTAGTTGAACCAAAGCCAAATGTGTTTTTTGGGCAAAACAGAATTGTTTCTAAGAATGTCATGATCAAGTGTTTTAGTGTATATCTGCCAAAACAGAGTCCAAATATTTTCATTTTTGCTGTTTAAACAGCCATATGGTGCACAGTTCAAGCACAATAACATTAGTAAAACATATCCAAATTACTGGCGGGCTGCCAGCTGCTTTGAAGTACCATGGTAAAAATACTTTATTTTTGCTGGATCAGTTTCCCAGACATGGATTAAGCCTAGTCCAGAACCTTTTTTTAATGTTTACATTATTTTGAATTTGCTACTTTCAGATTTCTATATATTATGTATAGAATATATTACTATATATACACTACTAAACAAAATCTCTGACATCTACTATGACATGTTTATGGCATGTTTATGTCAATCTTAGTTCAAGTAAAGTGCAACTCAATTTTCTTTAACACACAAAATGACTCCATTTTACATGCTGCTAGTTTAATTATGACACACAACTATTATAAATACAGCTGAAAAACTACCATTGCAGATATTACAAGCACTTGTCAGATTGTTTTCATATTCAACTTTAGTTCATAAATATTTGGACATCAATGAATAATATAATATTAGCTGTCTACCACAGTATACTGGAGCAGAAATTAAACAATGAATTTAATCCAAATAGGGCTAAAGATGTAGACTTTTAGTCGCTCAAAAATCACTGGACAATGAGCTGTTCCATGGCCAGATGTGTGTTACGCTCGCAATATTTTTTGCACTTGGAATCTAACTCTCAATATATTGTCCAAAGAGTTGCCACTGCCAATGCAGCAAGCCATCATTAATCTGAAATATCAAAACTAACCTATCACAGATGAGACAAAAAGTAATTTGTGCCAGAATGATGGGAAAAGTATGGAATGATTCAATGCATACCACCTCAACCCAAGAACAAGCAGGAGCTTAAGACAGCTGCAGTAAAGGCCTAGTAGAGCATCACCAGGGAAGAAACCCAGCATCTGGTGATGTCTATGGGTTCCAGACTTCAGGTAGTCATTGACTGCAAAGGATTTACAACCAATTATTAAAAATAAAAGTTTAATTTATGATTACGTTGGTTGGTCCAATTACCTTTGAGCCCCTGAAAAAAACGGGAGTTGTATATGAAAATGGTTGTAACTACTATACAGTACTACACGGATTTGGATGTAAACACTATCAAATTAAAGTCTTTTGAGCTCAAATTTATTATTTAATTTCAACTCCAATATACTGTGGTACACAGCTAAAAAAATAATATCTATCACAGCAATGTAAATAGAGAGCAAGAGAGTACAAAAGGTTAAGAAAGGACCAGAACTGGACCATGTGTAATACCACTGATACTGATGATTTCATATATGTTTTGATCGGCTACAATACGGTACTCTCAGATCAGATTAGGGAGGGAATCTTTAATTATTTAAAGGTCTCACAGAAACCCTCTGTCCTCTTTAGTCTCCTTGTCTCTCTCATTCTCTGTTTATCAGCACTCCTCCAAGGTGCCCTCTCCTTGCCTTGATTGGCCATTACCTCAGATGTTTCTCCAGAGAGTCCACTTGGTCATGTAGGGCTTTTGTGGCCTTCGTCTGGGGTCTAAGAGAGAGTGTGGGAGAGTGTGGGAGAGGGAGAGAGAGAGAGAGAGAGAGAGAGAGAGAGAGAGAGAGAGAGAGAGAGAGATGGGGAGAGAGATTAAATCAAGGAACATTACCCAACTCCCAAACCTGACAGCTCACTTCAAATAATTTCACACAAAAACACCTAGCCGAGGATTTTTAACACGTTATCGCAGAGAGCCTAACCATAGATAGGTTAGAAAGAAAGATTTCAGAGAGTGAAGAAGCTGTTAGGTCAGTTGTAGGCCTGTCTCTCAGACACTAAAGGCTGCTGCAGGAGGGAAAATTTGTGAGCAGCGATAGCAAAGAAATATCGCATGTAAAAATAGAACGGTCATTGGCTTTGAATGAAAATCTCAACATGACTACAACATTATACAGCCGAGCCGAGATCTGCCAGGAGTAATGACACACCAGAGCAATCTTTGGGGAAATAAAATCATAATGAACCAAAGTGCCTTCAACATGACTGTCTCCATAATTGAGGACGTAATAACATTTCGGCACTTTATGATGGTGGTAGTTACTGAGATAGAAGCTAGCGCTCAGGAGAATGTTTTTTAAAGTAAGACGGAGGCGATTTGGTTTGACATTTAAGATTATTTCGATGTCAGTTTCCCCAAGCACTTTCAGACGTTCACAGTTTTATATACTTACGAATGCATAGAAGTATATGGACCATTCTGCCAAATTAGTTCAAACTGTGGCCCCACTGTAAAAAGACTATTCAGACCTTAGATATTTACAAGGATTATATTATGATCTATTTAAACCTAAGGCATTAATTATGATAGTAACAGGCTACAAATGTTCACTATTTATAGCAGGGGCATCAAACTCAACCAGTAAAAGGCCCATATTAAAAAATGTCAACAAATCTGTGGGCCAGAGGAAAAAAATGCTTTTATTTCATTTTAATTAACGTTGTGTTATAACTGGAACTGGCCACTGTTTATTCAAAATATGCAAAAAACTTCAAAAGTAAATTACAAACACTTACAGTAGACCTCGAAATATTACTTGCACAAATATATTACTTGGTGTTTATATTGGTTAAACTGCAGCTGAAATGCTTTTAATGATATGACTGGTGTGGAATTTTGTGGAATTGTGTAGAACTGAGGTGTAACCGCTGTCCCATAGATTCTTGTTTGGGTAGGAGAGTCCGAGCACATTACGTTGCAGTGCATGCTGGGGACTGTAGTGCAGTGCATCGTGAAATGGGCTAATATTAATAGAAAATGAAAATACTTCTGCGAGCCAGATAAGATTGTGTCCCACGGGCCTTGTGTTTGACACGTGGTTTTGTGTTTTCCAGTGTGTTTTTAAGATCAATTTGATTTCTTTTAAAGTGAAGTTAAAAGATTTAGATTTTTCATGAGTTTAATTTTTAAGCAAACAAACAAAAAAAAACTTTATTTAAAAAAATCTGTCCCACGTTTTCATGTCACTACCTAAACACTAAAAGTTTTAGTCCATGGGCGACGCCTTATTTTAGCCACACTGCTACATTTTAGAGCAGGAAGTGAGGCTGCATCCCTGTTCCTCCTGGTGAGCAGTTAGATCTCATTATTTTGAAGTAAATGGGTCCCAAAGTCTGAAAATCAGTGCGTATATATCACAAAACCTTGTAGTTCCAAAATGAGAACTTTACAGGAGAAGGAAAAAACATTTCTTACTTTCAATGTAAGACAATGGAACCAGACTTTTTCCCCATGTAATTTTGGGTCATTTCTGTTGGTCCATTCATCACAAGATTTGCACACAATGTAAGGGACAACGGGTGCTTTCAAATTATGTCAAAAACTGAAAAACAACAAAAATGGAGACACAAGGTTTTGTTCAGACAGCATATATATACACATATACAATAATGTTCGAAAGTCTTAAGACACCTAAGCACATTATTTAACATCACCTCATCATGTCAATCATTACAATAACTATAAATAATCATAAATAAAAAGTAGAAAAGCACAGCACAGTAAGAAGAATGACATGAATGTTTTTTTTTATTATTTTTTTTAAATAAGTAGTTGAGATTTTGCGAAGTACTGATTTGACAAACCAGGTACTGAATGATGACTAAAACTAACATTGTACTGCCACAAGGTGAACTTTGGAAATGGTTAAATGAACTCAATGACATTTGTAAAATCACCACTGGGTGTATTATTGTTAATAGTGTTTATTTCAATATTAGTGTTTTTTCTGAGCAAATGAGTGCTCACTGACCAGAGAAACCGCTTTTAAATATAATCTCTTAAGTGCAAAAAGTTTTGCACAGTACTGTGCACTGTACTGTCTCTCTCTAAGGCTATCCAGATGCATAGGTGGACAGTGTTACAATGTATTAAGATGCTTTGAAGAAGGTATACATGAATGCAGTCTCTCCAACCAGAGGATAATGGCTTCACAAGCTCTGGAAGTGGCTGACAGCAGAAAACTTCGTACTACACGGATCTTTAATTAGAGAAAGTAGCTTTACAAAGTCAACCAGAGATTAAACGCAAAGAGAGAGTTAGTGAATGTGTGCATGTGCGTGTGTGCGCCTGCTGAAGATTTCTGCCACTTTAACAAATGCTGCTGTTACAGTGTTTCTTCAGATTCACATTTTTTTTTTTCATCATTTCATCAGTTGTAAGTGTTCATACTGTGGAAGTATAATGACTAGCAATATCATTTATTTTTAATTGCAGATAAATTTAAAGCGGGTAGGGAGGATAAAGATCTAGGGGGTATAATAAGGCGATCTAATGCGGTTTGGGGAGTTTTCTCTTTGAAGGGAGACAGAAGCATACAGAGATAATCCTCAGCTCATCAGGAGGCAGCCTCCAGTGAGTTCACACACACACTCACACACACACACAACAAACCCATGGAGTCTGAGCCAATGAGCCTGCATGTGTGTACACATACTGGCAGTCAAAAAGAACAGCTCAGATGCACATGTGCAATAAACTGATGTTCAAAAACTTTTTTGATTTGTTCGAAGGGATTCATTGAAGTAGTGTGTCTGCTAGTGACTTTGCGAGTCAGCGGAGTTTTAAATCTTAGCTTTCATCGTTGATCATTATTAAATAAACAATATATACTAACATTCAAAATTTGGAATCTTTTGTCATATGAACAATTACTGTCATTTTATTAAATAAAAATTCTTTACTGGACTACTATAAGCTAGACACCAGCAGGTATTTTAAGGTCTTTTTGAGAACAGCAAAATGTTATTCATTGATAAATAATACAGTGTAATTATTTAGAATGTCGTCTTGATAAGTCATCTGCCTTGAGACTTGATCGCCACATTTCAAAGCTGTAAAATGCAGAGGTCGTAACACTTACAGCTACTTAAATAACATTTTGAACAAATTGTACTTCTAAAAGTTGTTTTAAATCAACACATATTTTGTGTGCTTCATTCAAATACATCTTAGCTCCATTCATCAATTAAAAACATCTTAACATGACTTTCTTTGACCAGTCAAACGCAGTTATATGAATACTGTCAAATACAGGTACCATAGATGTTAACAGTGGTGGGCTCGGTGGTAGAACCACTGTTTTCAGTGCTGGACAGCAGTGGCTCAATGGGGGACAGTGTAATGGAAGAAGAGCACCCCTAGCCTCAAACTGAGGTGACTACAAAAAACAATATAATGTGCTGCCTTCTCTGTCAACCTAAACATGTGGATCTTTTAGCATTCAAGAACTCAACATCCAACTTGAAAAAACATGTCGCTGCAAGTTATGGATTTGGCTAATGGGATGTGTTGGACTAAGCAGCTAAGAGTGGCAGGAGTTTGGCTAAATAGTGAGCAAAGAGTTTCAGGCATGACACCAATGTTAAAAGTTAGCTGTGATACAGTTGAAATGATATAAACAGTTATAGTAATGTTATAGTGACCACTGAGCATGAATTAATCTTGTTTAGCAGTTTGTAATGTTCTCATCTTGAGCTAAGTTTGCTTGCCAAGGCCTTCTCTACCTTGCTAAGTTACTTTTTTATAGCCAGATTTTAAACTTTGTTCTTCAACAGAGGGTGCATCCCAACACACTGGGGACATATGGCTGTTGTCTGAAGAAAACCTTGTATCTCCTTTTGTGTCGTTTTTCAGTTATTAACATAATTTGAAAGTACCTGTTGTTCTTTACATTGTGTGTAAATTTCACAATGAATGGGCCAAAAGAAATGACCCAAAATGACTTGGGAAAAAAGTCTGGTTCCACTGACTTACATTGAAGTAAAGTAGGTTTTTTCCTTCTCCTGTAAAGTTACCATTTTAGAAATGCAAGGTTTTCTTCCAACAACAGTCTAGATAGCAAAAATCATCATCAGCTACAGAGCCTTCTATGAAGAACGTAAAGCTCACAAATGCATTTTTCTTCTCTCCCGAAAGTAACACAGGCAATGGTAGGTAAGTTATTTGATAAGCCTAAATAAGGCTGTTCTATTTCGATTATTAATTGAGGTCTGATAAAGTAACTCGCTACTTGAGCAATCTTTTTACTAGATACTTTCTTACTTTTACTCAAGCAATAATTTAAAACTAATAAAACTAAAATAATTATTATTTTAAAGTAATAACATTCTTACATGGGTTCAATTGTTGGCTACTCTACCCACCTCTGGTAAAATATAACATTTTAAGTCATTCTTGACCACTGATCCATTCACCATAATATTTTGATGCAATGTAAAGGCACCTGGCAATTTCAAACTATCTTTAAAATAAATAAATAAATAAATACAGATAAAAACAGAGAGACGTTAATACAGTCGTATACAAAAGTATTAGTACTCCTGGTCAAGTTACCCACTTTGTTGCTTTAAAACATCTACAGGGAACATACTTCAATATTGCATTTTGCTGAAAATTTCTTGCACAATTTCTATGTATTTGCTTTGTTTAATAACAAAAACAACAAAAAAACATAAAATATAAACATGCCATAAATTTTGCACAGGCCATACTTTGTTTTATTTTTACCAGTATGTTAAGTTATGTTAATTGTTCTTTGAGATGTGTCAACTTATTTTCACTTAGAAAATCAACAAAACATTTGACAGGTGGTGCTAAAACGTTTGCATTCGACTGTATGTGTGTGTGTGCGTGCACACTGATGCTAACCCGTATCCTCTCTGAGGCAGACACTCCAGTATGTCGTAGCTCAGAGCGAGCTGGTCATCTCGTTCACAGCTGTAGATACACTCCAGCGCCACTGACATCAGCTCATCCGGATCAGCAATGATCTTCTGCTGACACTGCGAACAAACACAGAGATAGTAATCAAGCCTTCATCATTATTATTATCATCCAACTGGAGCGATGGGCGAGCAGAAAACAGAATTAACTCCACTGAATCAGACATCATGCTTGAATAGCTCTCAATCCCAACAGCTAATAAAATGGACACATCAGCTCTAGAAGTCCTGCTTGTGCATAATAAGATGCAAAAACTGGTATGTTGGTATGTTGAAAAGGCCCCGGAACATCTTCTCTTCAGTTAATTTAATCTTACTAGGAAAGGGCCATCCATGACATGACCACAGTAACATATGTGGTATTTAGGAAGCGTTCTAAACTCCCATCATCAAGGCTTCAGATTCACTTCACACAAATCATTTGAGTGCAAAAGATCACTTCAGAACAGATGGTGCGGTTCACAACTACAGCCTTCAAGATGGCTGGTACACTTTGTAGCTGTGCAGTTTGTTGCTGTAGCTTGTCGTACAATGTCAGAAACCACATAAGCAACTGTATTTGACATTATTTAACAACTTGACAGTTTAAATCAAGCATGCAATGCTTTATACATACAGTTTGTGGGAATCTAAGTACGATTCCACTCATTTACCACTCATTACATTTAAACATACACCGATCAGGCATAACATTATGACCACCTTCTTGTTTCTACGCTCATTGTCCATTTTATCAGCTCCACTTACTATATAAGTGCACTTTGTTCTACAATCACAGACTGTAGTCCATCTGTTTCTTTGCATACTTTGTTAGCCCCCTTTTACCCTGTTCTTCAGTGGTCAGGACCCCCATGGACCCTCACAGAGCAGGTACTATTTGGGTGGTGGATCATTCTCAGCACTGCAGTAAAACTGATGTGGTGGTGGTGTGTTAGTGTGTGTTGCGCTGGTATGAGTGGATCAGACACAGCAGTGCTGCTGGAGTTTTTAAACACCTCAGTGTCACTGCTGGACTGAGAATAGTCCAACAACCAAAAATATCCAGCCAACAGCGTCCTGTGGGCAGCGTCCTGTGACCACTGATGAAGGACTAGAGGATGACCAACACAAACTGTGCAGCAGCAGATGAGCTATCGTCTCTGACTTTACATCTACAAGGTGAACTGACAAGGTAGGAGTGTCTAATAGAGTGGACAGTGAGTGGACACAGTGTTTAAAAACTCCAGCAGCACTGCTGTGTCTGATCCACTCAGACCAGCACAACACACACTAACACACCAAAACGACATCAGAGTTACTGTAGTGCTGATAATGACCCATTCATTACTTGTTAGCTTCATTAGCCCTGTAGCTCCTGTATAAAATTATAGAAGCAAACTTCAGATGCTAAACACGTCTTGGCTGATCGACTACATTTGGGGAAAACAGTGCAAGAAATTTGTCTATGCTCAGTAAACTACTCACATTAAGTTAAAACGAGAACCAAAAATGGCTGCAGAAAAGTCTTGGCAAGGCATCTCAAGGGACAATCAAGAAGATGCCAGTATCACTGGGTCACCGATTAGAGGCAGTTATTTAATACAAAAGGGACCAGTGACTTTGGGACCCAGGCCTATGGGAACAAACATCAAGATGTACACAACCTTAATTAGTTTTCAAACTGTCCCTTGACTTGTGGTGCCAGTCTAAAGTTTAGACACACCTACTCATAGAAGGCGTTTTCTTTATTTTTACTATTTCCTACATATAAGACTAAAAGCAAAGACATTAAATCTACAAAATAACCTACACAGAACTGTGCAGTGACAAAATCTTCTAAGTTATTCTTCAAAGTAGCACCCTTTTGCCTTGATGTAGCTTTGAAGCCTCCTGGCATTCTCTCAAGCAGCCTCATGAGGAGCCACCTGGGATGCCTTTCAAACAAGCTTGAAGAACTTCCACACATGCTGAGTCCTTGTTGTTGCTGATAACCACTTGTTGGGAGGACATTCCAAAAAATACACAGTGATCAGGTCCACTATTTAAGGTAACATGGAGGAAGATGTCTCACCCCCTCTGTTGTTCTCTCCTGATCAAAGGAAGGGCCCAAATCTAATCTAGACACATTAACTCATTACTACACATTCTAATTATTGATTATTATATAGTTTTTGTTTTCTTGTAAAGTGAAAATTTGTTGAAAGATTAGATCTTTGGGGCAAGGAGTCCCTCTAGATGAGGAGCAAAAGGTCCCCTTTAGAATATTTCTGTATTCATAATATTATATAAGGTTCTTCACTAGGGCAGCTAGAATTAGTAATCTTGCTGGAGATGAGTTTGTCATTAAGTTTTGTAGCTCGAAAAAGTTAAATCCAAAGCTAATTGCTATTTGTTAATCATTTGCACTTTTAACCAGTTGTGGTTTATAATAAAAAAAAACTAAAATATGTCATTTTATTGCTCTTTTTATGATTTTTACTGTTGTAGTAATTATTATTATTATTATTATTATTATTATTTTTGATAATCATTTAGAATGATTTTGCTAATAAACAAAACTGATATCTTCTATTTACAAAGTAGATAATGTCTTTTTTTTTACTGTGATTTCATTTTATTTCAATAGAGAGTAACCTTAATGGCATAAATTGATCATAATTTTATTTAAAAATAGTATATTTTGCGAAGTGTTTCAGAGCAACATCATAAATAAAACATTTGCAAGGATAAGAAATACTCTGATATATAAATTATACATAATTTACAAATCAGACGACGACTCATGCAAGATCTCACAGGGGTCTTCTTGCTCTGCATAGGGAGAAATACTTAAGATTTTGACTTTTGTGCTGTGAAAACAGAACTGTCTGCTGTTTCAGTTTATTTCCCCTGACTGTGTGCAGATTTATGCATTCTGATACTGTGTTCAACTTTTAAAGCAAATTTATAATCATTTTCCCCTATATTTCTCTCATTTTCTCCTGTATGTTACTTGGAAACTAGGGTACCACTTTAGAATAAGACTACTCTTATAAAGGGTTAATGAATGTTCTAAAATGAGTTTATGAATGGCTATTAATTAGTTCATACACACTTTAAAAATCATTAATAAGCCTTTACAACACATAAATAAAAAGAGAAACAGAGACCTGTTGTTCGCCTCATAGTAAGCATACATTCATCAATGCTGTAAAGGCTCAGATGTTGCTGGTTACGAATCTTACTTTGTCTTTTTCATCAGTCAAAAAAAAGTTTATCAGTTAAGCTCGTCAGCTTCATCACATATTCATGTTGATCAGACATGGTAGCTCATTTTTTGCTCATTTTATTAATGTGTAGTAACTGTTCATTCACGCTTTCTAAGGTTTTTATGACCTAATTAATAACCCATAATACAGTAATTTTAAACCATTTAGAAACTCTTAATAAGGGTAGTCTTATTCTCAATGGTACCGAAACTAGTTTTTAATATTAAAGTTTGAGCCTTTAGAGTCATCGAAATGTCAGAATGTAGAAAACCTACATTCAATCAGGTGTGTTCAAAGTTTGGACTAGCACAGTAGCACAGAAGAACAACCTACGTTCACATTATCAAAAAGTAAAAAATTAGCAAATAATTTTTGTGCTTTTGTCTCGTCCATTCACTTTCTGAAGGAGTCATTTTTGCCGCCCTCCTCTGAGCTATGATTAGCTCAAAGTTCATGTTTGTTGAACTTGGATTTGTGCTATGTTGACCTTGAAATGAGCAGCCAAAGACTGTAGGCTATTTCTTGTGATCCTGTCACTGAACAATATCAAAACCGGTAGTACATATTTCCATTTTTCTTGAATTCTAATCCATTAAAAACATGTGGCTGAGATATTCATATGAGTTCTTCTGAAGGGCAGGCAAAACCTTGCCACTGTACAGAGTGGAGCGCGATGCGGCAGTGTGTACGTACCTTAAAGTTGGCATTCCAACACAATAGAAATCCTCTATAGAGCAGGACACTCTACACTTCTGCACTTTCATCTTTCCATCTTTAATCCCAACCAATTTTACACAGCTAAATTAAACTATGCACTTGCCCCTTATATTTCAGCACTTCACATAAACCTGCTGAAGGTTCTGCCTAATTGCCTGCATGCTGTCCACGAGAGCTCTTCATTTCTTTAAATTAATATCATTCTCTCACAGTTCTTGTGGACAGGAGGTTAGGTGTGTGCTTTTGTGCTTTACTTCAATCAGGTTCCGTTAAGTGGCCCATTATTCTGTCTTGTTGAACTATAGAGACACACACACACACACACACACACACACACACACACACACACACACACACATGTATGTCCCTGTCCAACTGTTTGCCTAATTTGCTGCGAGGGAAATTGGTGATAGTGAGTGAGGGTGAACAGCTCATAAATTTATTATGCGAGAGTGGTGCTACATGACTGTCTGACTGTGTGTGTGCATGTCTTTTGAGGGTCTTGCCTGAGCTGAATGATTCCACAGGGATGGAGGCTGCGGGCTGTAACTTCCTTTCAAGTTCAGAGCAAACTCCTGTGAGTGTGAGAGTGTGTGTGTGTGCGCGTGTGTACGTGTGTGAGTGAGACTGTGTGGAAGGAGAGCAGACACTCACGCCTGGTTTGGAGTGCTGGAAGATTTTGAGTGGCATCGTAAGATCTTCACGGGCGAGAGACACCAGGTACTCTCTGAGCAGCACCACAGTCGCTCCTTCTCTCTGACCCTCACAGCGGTGCAGGAACGGAACCATCCACTGCAGCACATTCTTCACATAACAATCCTCACTCGACTGAGAGAGAGACAAAGAGAGAGAGAGAGAGAGACAGAGACAGAGAGAGACAGAGAGAGAGTTAAATGGATAGACAAGCACACAGGCAGACAGACACTCTGAAAACATGTACTAAACTGTCACTGGGGTGGTATTCTCAGGGGTATGTCTCCAGAACTTTTAGCGAGGGAACATCATTGTACCATATTCTGCTGCAGTTCTATTTATTTAAGCCGCATTTACTCCATACATCTTCTCTTGACTCCAGGCCTTTAATTTCTCAAATATGTCCCTTTTCCACATGTGTGCTTTTGAAACTCATTTAAGACACACAGTTAGACCTTAATACCACTGCTGTACCTCTGAGGGTATGTGGACTTATTTGTATTAAGCTGATCATCACAATTATTTGTCATATAAATAACCGCAATTAACAATTTAATTTTTCTGTATGCAACTAGGGTTGGGCAATATGACGATATTTTATCGTTATCATGATAAATCGTGTCATAATACGCTTTTCTGAGCATATTGTGGATATTGTCAGTGCTTAAAGAACACTAATTACATGTTTTATTACAAAGTCTGTTTTCAAGCCGGTTTAATTTGATTAAGTGAACTGCAATTTGCAAAATATTGAATAAAAATCTTTGTAGTTGTAGAACTGTTATTTTGCAGCAGTACAGGTTCTATTTAGGCTGTTCCATGTTATAAACATACACACATACACATCATCTAAACTGCTTATCCTTCAGGGCTGCGGTGGGGTGCTGGAGCCTATCCCAGCTGTCATTGGGCAGAAGGCAGGATACACCCTGGACAGGTCGCCAGTCCATTGCAGGGCAGACAGACACACATATGCATTCACACACACACACCTACGGGGCAATTTCAGCATGTCCATTTGGCCTGACTGCATGTTTTTGGACTGTGGGAGGAAACCAGAGTACCAGGAGGAAACCCACGCAGACACGGGGAGAACAGGCACACAGAAATGACCCTGGTCGCCCGACCGGGAATCGAACCCAGGCCATTCTTGCTGTGATGCGACAGTGCTACCCACTGCGCCACCGTGCCGCCTCCATGTTATACAATCCCAGAAAAACTATACATGCACAATAAATATAAATATTGTGATGCATATCATTAAAATAAAAGTCACAAAGTGGCAAAATTGGCTGATTAGCTAACATGGTCGTAGTATTGAATTAACATTGTGGGGAAACTACACATAAATATCTACATTTACACAGAATTATGTACAGAGTCGAGCAAAGCTACATGTTCTTTGTGAGAGTCAAAAATATAGGCAAAGAAACACTTTTTTTCTGCTAGCATACTGGCAAATAAACAAACATTAATGCCCTCTACACATATTAGATCATCAGAGAGTTAGAATTTTTTTTTTTCTGTTTTCATAGCCCCATGATGTGTCTTGATAAATGCATTTACTGCTTTCTTTTACTTACTTTTATTTGCCTAATATACCCATTTCACATTTTATTTGCTGCAGTACAACGTGTCCGAATTCTAACGGCTGTGGAAATTGACTGCAGTCAGTTTAAACAATTGAGATCGTCACAAATAACTGTGATTAGGCAATTATGCAATAATTTTGACAGGCCTAGTTTGTATGTTGGTGAACAAACATGTAAGTGTACAGTGCAGAAAAAGACAGACAGGTAGGTGGGGGTGCCCACTCAGGTAGGGCTGAGTTCAAAATATTGATATAGCAATGGATAACTTTAACGTGGATAACTTCAACTTCTTATTTAAATATTAAGACGCTGTGAACACTATAGTATCTAATTTGGTACAAACACTAGACAGATTAGTCAGTGTTTGTTGTATGACATCTTTCCACGATGTGTTAACTACTACTTACTTCTGGTTGGTCTGTCTGTATGCTACTGTCTTTTTCTTTTTCTATATACACTTCATTAAACCACCTCCTTGTTTCTACACTTTTTATCAGCTGTCCATTTTATCAGCACTTACCATATAGGGCACTTTGTAGTTCTACAATTACAGACTGTAGACCATCTTTTACTCTGCATACTGTGTTAACTCACTTTTACCCTGTTCATCAATGATCAGGACCCCACAGGACCACCACAGCGCAGGTATTATTTGGGTGGTGGATCATTCTCAGCACTGCACTGACACTGACGTGGTGGTGGCATTTTAATGTGTGTTGTGTGTGTTTAATGAGTGGGTCAGACAGAGTTTTTAAACACTGTGTCCAGCTCATCTGTTGCTGCACAGATTGTCTTAGTCATCCTCTAGTGCTTTATTACTGGTCGCAGGACGCTGCCCACAGGACGCTGCTGGCTGGATATTTTTGGTTGGTAGACTATTCTCAGTCCAGCAGTGACACTGAGGTGTTTAAAAACTCCAGCAGCACTGCTATGTCTGATCCACTCAGACCAGCACAACACACACTAACACACCACCACCACGTCAGTGTCACTGCAGTGCTGGGAATGATCCATCACACAAATAATACTGATAGCATGAACAAAATACCAACAAATTCCAGCAGTAGCTGACAGAAGAAATTCAGAGGTGGTCAGATGGCCATAATTAAGATGTGTTAAAAAGTGGCCTAGATCTGATTTAAAATTTAAGCGTCAGTGTGCTCAGCACAGATCTGGGCTAAGAAATGAAGTTCAATAGACAACTGTTTCTGGAAGTATTGTTTATGTAGTCTTAGGCCAGACTTAATCTGGACTAGTGGCACTTATGGTGGCAAATGAAGCTCATGAAAAATGAAATCATAAAAAATGAACTTGAGAAGAAACCACTTAAACTATAAGAAGCAAATGTTTTTTTAGAAAGTGTAAAGAGTGTCGCTGGTGACAAGCAGCAGTGACCGCAGTTCACCCGTAGACGAGTGTGGCGAGCCTTCTCTTAAACGAGCAAATTGACATTAAATCATTTTAATGAAAGCATTAAATCCGAACAAGCCATCTTTGACTCCAGGCTTAATGAGGACACTTCCATAAACATTTCTGCTACAACATCCCTCAGACACACACACACACACACACACACACACACACACCACACACACACACACACACACTCTTTTTTTCTCTCTCTCTTCCTGTGAGGTAATTATAGTGTTTGAATATTGAAAAATTGTGAGAGGAATGAGTGCCATACAACAATTAGAGGTCTCTGGAGTGCTGCTCTCTATCAGATATGAAAGACAGAGAGAGAGAGAGAGAGAGAGAGAGAGAGAGAGAGAGAGAGAGAGAGAGAGAGAGAGAGAGAGAACAGACGGGAAAAAAGAGAGAGAAAAAGATAGAATAAAAATTAAATTCTTGGAGAAATGAGAAAAAGAGTAAGAAAAAGGAAGAGACACAGAATAAAAGAGTGGGACGGGGGTGAGGCAGAGTGAGAGAGGAAAAATAAATACACAGACAGAGAGAGAAAGAGAGGGAGAGAGAGAGAGAGAGAGAGAGAGAGAGAGAGAGAGAGAGAGAGAGAGAGAGACAGAGAGAGACTGAGAGAGAGAAAGAGAGCAAGAGAGGATGTATATGTGAAACGTAAGCTGACAGGTTGAAGCAGGTCAGACTAATTTGGACAGACAGAGTGAGTGACTGTTCATACATTCTTCATGAGGAGGCGGAGCTTGTCGATGTCTCTCAGCTGCTGCAGCTCCTTCAGACTGAGGCTCAGCTCACATGCCTCGTACACCAGCGTCTCCATGGTAACCAGGTCGTCACACAGCAGCTCCAGCCCAGGGATCTCCCGCTCCTTCCCCAGACGCACCAGAGACAGAGCGCAGTCCACCTGCACACACGCACACGGAGCCAGACAAAACAAACAACACACGTAATTAGAATGTAAACAGAGAGTCCCACAGCCAATCAGGAGCAGCCTACCAACAGACGGACCAATCAGAAACCACTCGACAACAAACAGAGCCAATTAGAGTTTAGATACATCCCCAACAGTTTCAATGTACATTAAAATATCATCGTCATATCAAAAAGCTCCATTAAAACTCTATTTTTTTTTCTTAGACCACTGAAAATGGCAGCTGTACTTTACATTGTTTAAATGTTTCATGATGAATAGACCAATGGAAATAACCAAAATTACTATGAATTAAATTTAGTTACTTCAACAACTAACTTACATTACAGCAAAGCTATAGTCTAGTCAGAAGCTCCTGCTAAAATTCAATGAGCTCAACAAAGTGCGTAGTCAACATAAGGAAAATCAAAGAAACAAGGACAGCTGTACACCTCTCCACAACTGAGCTGAAGTATTGTTATTCTGAGTGAGCATTTCCCATATCAGTCAACACTTGGGAGGCTACCAGTGGGGGGGGTGGTATATATTTATACACTCAATGAACACTTAATAAAGAATTAAGAATATCTCTTTGTATCTACATTTGTCCATTTTATCAGCTCCACTTACCATTTAGGTGCACTTTGTAGTTCTACAATCACAGACTCTAGTCCATCTGTCCCTCTGCATACTTTATTAGCCCCCTTTCACCCTGCACTTCTACAGTCAGGGCCCTCACAGGACCACCACTACTACTTTTACATGCTGGCCCCATCATCGTCACGAGATTTCAAGTTCAATTCCCAGCAATGTCACAGCCATCCACAGTTAGGAAGGAGTCCAAGACCTCTTTTCCACTGTAGGGCTGAATGTTTCAGGGTTTTTTATTATTAACCAAACAGGCTAGAAAAAATAATGTAATTAGGTAAAACCAGGCCTTATTAATTCACTGGAAATTAATCTAATCATACTGATAATATCCTACCCACTCTCAGAGATTTTGGGCTCAACATTAACATTATTAGATAGATAGATTTTATAATTCATAAATGTGACACTGATAATATGAAATTTAAATAACTAAATATTTTTTATTTAAAAATAAAAAAGAAAATAAATCATTAAATCTTATATATTTGAATTCATACATGTAAAACAGGGTCAACAATTCTCTATTCAATAATCCAAACACATTGCTCAATTTCACTGCTGACAGAGACACAAAGAAACATTTCTCCTGACTAGCTGACTCACTACACAGTAAAGTGCTGCACTGAGAGAGAAACTGAATGAACTGTTCCAGAGAAATGCTTTTATATTTTTCTTTTATATAAGCTACTTAAAAGGGGAGTGTTTCTATGTTTTTGGAATGTGTAAAATTTTATGTTTATTTAAATTTAAACTGTTTACTAACAGTTTAACAGTTACTAACTGACGTAAATTAGTATTACAAACAGTTTTATTTAATGATTGTTTCATTTAAAGCACTTCAAACTTTATGTATGTGTTTCTACATACAATGTCAAATTATCGTTCTTTATGATTATCATCTCAATCTATAATTATGATCACAGATTGTGATAATACCATGGGAAATATAAAGAGGAAGGAAAAATGGTTTAAAAGCAGCAATAAATAATTGTAGAGGATGCAGATGGGGTTGGAGGTTTGTGAGTGGAAGGCAATCGAGTGTCCCTTACTTGTCCACACTACTCACAAGTCTGCGCCAGCATAGAACAATACAGCGCTGGGACCCATATGGCTCTACAGTGGAAAAGAGGCCCAAGAGAGAATAAATGGCCTCAGATTCTGGATGAGTAGGATGGCTCTCAGCATGATGCTAGCCAACGCAGGCATCTGTTAGCTGACGTAACAAAACTGGCAGTTAGCGTTTTGCTGCAAGTTTCCTCCAAATTCCACCTGGACATGATTAAATCACAATGCTAAGTGTAGCAAAATCTTAGTTTATAACTTAGTTTACACTTATATGATTTATATCAGAATTAGCACCCTTCACAAACAGCAACATTCATGGAAAAGAGGCTAATGATGCACACAAACGTTGCCACAGTGCTAATAGCTCCCCCTTGTGGTGAATCAGCCTGCCAAACACGAGTAAGAGGGTAAGTTAATGAGTGAGTTATAAGCTACATTCATAAAAGGGCTCATATCTTAAAAATAAGGGTGGAGGAAGCCATAAAACCCAGACAAAAAGGTGATGCCGACTGAAAAAAATCCACATGCTTGAACACCAAATCAATGCCTTGTGTTTCACATCATGAACTGCCAATAAATATCTTTCCCCCCGTTGACAGACAGCACTCCAGGCCAATCAATAGCAGATATATGTCTGGTGGTTGCAGCTGCCTTCCACTGCCTGGGAAAGGGTATAATCCTTCAGTGCTGGAGTCCAGCAGAGGAAAATTCCTCACATTAAACCTGCTCTTACTGACATTAACAGCAAACTGTGCTGGTCAATACATGCACTAAAGCTGAAACAGAGGGAAGCCAAGGCCATACATACGCACAAACAAAACAAATACACATATCAGTAACCCTGCAGACAGAAGAAAGCACAACACACACAACCCTGGTCATTAGAGAGAAGTCAAATAACGACGTATTGATCTGATCTTGCACAAAAGAGCTTTTGACTCCTTCATGGCTAAACAAACAGGAAGTGACCGCACTGATCAACAGATTTCACACCTTTTAATTACAACCCATCTGTATTTTTCTCTTGTTTCAGCCATGTGCTCTGTACTCTGTCTTCACATTCTCATATCACCCCTTCAAATTCTCCTTTTCCCTAATTCCCCTGGAGGAGGAGAAGCAGAGAGTAAGTGAAAAGGCAAAAGGAGAGAGAAAGAGAGACAGAGAAAGCTAGGAATGCTGTGAAATGTTTAAAACCATCTTAAATAGGTGATGCAATAAGGCTTGGGTATAAAAGGGTATAAAAGGGCATAAAATGTGTCAAAAAACAATCCAGCAGTTTAAGAACAATGTTCTTTACCAGAGATTACAAGGATTTTAGGCATTTCACCCTCTATGGTCCATATCAGTAAAAAAGTTTCAGGGATTCTGAAGAAATCTTAAAAACCACTACCGAATGCTCATGACCTTGGATCCCTCAAACAGCACTGCATTAAAAAATAGCAATTTATGCTGCCCTCTAGATCAGGAGTGCCCATATTTTTGATTGCTTGAGATGTACTTTTTTCCAGTGGACAGATCATCGTGACCTACCTTTATTTTTTTTTATTGGAAACTTCAGTGGCCAATAAAATATTCAGCAGAAAAATCACACTAACCTTATTGTCAGCCAGGTTTGTGCAGCCTGGAGGTTTTAGCTGGGAGTTCTTAGTTGTAGTTACTGCGTATAGTCGAAAACGCATCCTGACGTTCCGCTTCTTCGGAAATGCAATAGCTACTTGGCAAATTAAGCAAAATAGTCTTCCTCCTGCTCTGCATGGAAGAGGTAAGTTTTCAGTTTCTTTGTGCTGAGTCTCGCACTCATCTTCTAAAAGAGTCAGTGTAGGTTCCAAAAGGAAAAAACAAAAATGGAGCTACACGAACTGGCTACCGATAAATTAAAACCTTCTAGACTGCTAAAGAGGCAAACTCGCAGCAGTGCTTTAGGTGGGCTGTGGCGTAGCTATGGTAACAAGCCTTAAGCTAAAGAGACATTGGCCACATTTCACATCAATCACACTGACCTGCACGTCACTAGAAGCAGTAAGAAAGTGTTGAAATTTGATAGCCTGTTTGAATAAGGCGCGATCTACCAACGTTCACTTCGACTAGTCACGTGCAAGACCGACTGGTTGATTGCGATCGACGTATTGGGCACCGCTGTTCTAGATGGTGTCATTTTCAGGGATGTCCATGCTTATTTCAACATGACGACACCAAGCCACATTCTGCACATGTTACAACAGTGTGGCTATGCAATCAGAGAGCACAGGTGCTAGGGTGGCCTGCCTGTAGTCCGGTTAAAGCCTGAGTAGACTGATAAGTAAATGTGAAGAGCCAGTTTTTAATGCTAGTGTTACTAAGCTCTTATGATGTATTACTGAACTGAACAGTCTCCTCAGTAGTAGACATGTTCACAAGTGCTAAGCTTAGCATCGATGTTGTACTCAGTGTGGCATTGTGATACATACGTTAACTGAAATTAACTGAAAATCGCACAGCTAGCCACTTTATAGTCAACATTGCAAGACTATAATATCTTAATTAGACAGGTGGTGATCTGGTTTGGTGTAAACACCCCACTCGTACTCGGGTGCACACTAAACAAATGAAGCATGATCCACCAGAAATCAAGGGTCTCGGATTCCTTTTCAAGTGATCACTGGTTCAGTTCACTTCTGGTGGGAGCACATTCTTCTGATAGTCCGCACCAAACTAGGGAATTTAACGTAAGAGGATGATTTCCTCTTCTTTCAGCACCAGGTAAGCCCTGAATGGTCTACATAATCTGCCTATTTTAACAACTGACTCTTGAGAGGCACTCATATCATTCTTGCAGCACAACCTGCTGCTAATAACGACAGAATAATAGCAAATCAATGTCTTTAATTTTGGCATATGGATCGCAGAACACAGTATATCAGCGACCTAATTGGTTACATTCAAATTGAGAAACCAATCATTCAGAAGCACATATCAAGTAAGGTTTATTATTGCGTTGACTGGGATACAGTGAGACAGTAAGTATCCCTATTTTAAGTTGGAGATTTTTGGCTTTAAATGGTGTCTTATGTAACAGTAACAGAGCATTTGTATCTCTGCAAAATTCTGACCAATAAACAGGCACTCGTGTATATAAATTGGTGCGCTTCATCTGTTGCAGCGTGGAACCAACTAAACCAAATAAAAAAGTGACAAAAACCGAAAAAACGGTTTAGACTTTGGCAAACAAACTAGGTATGAAATCAGCCTAAATGTAGTCTAAATATATTCTGAATATGCTACTGTATGGTAATGGAATA